CTGCTGGTGTGTTCCATTTTTTGTCATAGGGTGCTGGCAGATTACGGGCCTCCCATAGCTGCTGCCAGGCCCCTAATCTGCCATGGGCCCCTCATATATTACCCTCCTCATGCTGCTGCCACCAGCCTCCCCTCCTCCCATTGCTGCTGTCTCCATCGCCACACTCTGCCATGTGCCACTTTCAGGTCTCACACACACTGCTGGTGTATTCCATTTTTTGTCATAGGGTGCTGGCAGATTACGGGCCTCCCATAGCTGCTGCCCAGGCCCCTAATCTGCCATGGGCCCCTATACAGGTCTCCTCATGCTGCTGCCAGGTCCAGAGTTTGTCATGGGTCCCTGTACGGCCTCCCATTGCTGCTGTCTCCATCGCCACACTCTGCCATGTGCCACTTTCAGGTCTCCATGCTGGTGGGTTCCATTTTTTTGTCATAGGGTGCTGGCAGATTACGGGCCTCCCATAGCTGCTGCCAGGCCCCTAATCTGCCATGGGCCCCCGTACCGACTCCTCATGCTGCTGCCAGGCCCGTAATCTGTCATGGGCCCCTGTTGTCGCTTGTTGGCATATTCCGCTCGTTCAGATGCTCCTTCTCCTGCTACTCCTCTTCACGGATTCCGTCAGCAGTCTTTCTTGGAATCCGTTTCCAAGAGACAACAGTTTGCGAGCACGCACCAGACGGTGCAGAAACTGAACGTCCTCCTGTCCAAGTTGCTGCTGCCAGGCTCGTAATCTGTCATGCGCCCCTGTACCGCCTCCTCATGCTGCTGCCAGGTCCAGAGTGTGTCATGGGCCCCGTACCGACTCCAAATGCTGCTGCCAGGCCCGTAATCTGTCATGGGCCCCTGTACCGCCTCCCCATGCTGCTGCCAGGTCCAGATTGTGTCATGGGTCCCTGTACGGCCTCCCATTGCTGCTGCCAGGCCTGTAATCTGCCATGGGCCCCCCTACCGACTCCTCATGCTGCTGCCAGGCCCGTAATCTGCCATGGGCCCCTGTACCGCCTCCTCATGCTGCTGCCAGGTCCAGAGTGTGTCATGGGTCCCTGTACGGCCTCCCATTGCTGCTGTCTCTATCGCCACACTCTGCCATGTGCCACTTTCAGGTCTCCTCACACTGCTGGTGGTTTCCATTTTTGTCATAGGGTGCTGCATGGCCTCCCATTGCTGCTGCCTCCACCGCCACACTGTGGCTCCACACTCTGGTTTTGGCCCCGTGACTGGCCAAATGAGTGAAGTGTGCGGTGATTCTAAGATCGACGGCACTCATCTGCATGTCATACTGCCTGACAGTATTATTTCTCTTCCCCAGCAGACTCCAAGGGCATTTAAATTAAAGGTACAGTGTTCAGCACTAATATTAAGTCTCTGAGTGCTCTAGGTAGTTCATTGATTCTTCCTGTCACTGTGTAACTACCTGCCCATATGAGGTATGAGCAGACAGCTTACACAGAGTCCCAGTAGGAGCCCCATATTACACCAACAATCTGCTGCTCCCAGGTGCAATGCTTTCCAGGCTCTAAAAAAAAACCCCCAAAAAAAACAAAAACCACCCACAAAAAAAGTAAATGTGCATTTTTAGATCTTGGGAAAAAAAAAAAAAAAAAAAAAAGTATATGTATATATATATATATATATATATATATATATATATATATATATTTTTTTTTTTTTTTTTTTTTTTTTTTTTAAAGGTCAACTTATCCTTTAACCTCCCTAGCGGTATGTTTATTTCAGATTTTTGGTGCTGAAAGCGGTACCATTATTTTGCATGGAAATATGTAGTTTTTTTTTATTGTAGGCTGTAATTTTTAGGAATAACTCACTGAAATCTGTCCGAACAAGAGTCTATTAAACATCCCGAGTATGATAAAATTTGAAACACGAAATCATAAATTATAATTTAATAAATAATCATAAAAAAATAATAATATAATAATAATACATTTAATTCAATAATATAATCAAACCAAAAACACTGAAATTTGAAATAGAGCGCCAATTTCGCACATTGCTGAGCCAAGTCGCAAAATCGTTTTCAGTGTCTGATGACGAATTTCCCCACGAGTCATTATCATTCAATTCTGCAAGTGGTTCTGATTTACTATCGCTGTTCTCTAGCTGATCTAAACCCGCTTTTGACCTAAAGGGACACTTTTTGGACGCCATGGACTTTTCTCAATTTCCAGGCAGAAAGAACAGACAAAATGCAGGCAGGGCACAGGACAAAGCAGTAGGGACACAATGTATGTGAAATGGGTTGAAACAGCAATGTTTTACTATGTAAAATGTGTTTGGAAAAAAATGACGTACGTCCCGACGTCACAGGGACCGGAATACAGAAGACGGATGCCGGCATCGGCCGGAGGAGATGGCCGGGGACGCTGCAGGGGACACATCGCGGGAGCGCAGAACAAGGTAAGCGCTGCAGGGAATCCTTATGCAGCGCCGCATGGTAAGCCCGAGTGTAGCTCGGGGTTACCGCTTTTGGTACTGACATTTTACCTCGAGCTGCACTTGGGAATACCGCTAGGGAGGTTAATCACTTGCCTACAGGGCACTTATACCCCCTTCCTGCCCAGGCCAATTTCCAGCTTTCAGCGCTGTCACACTTTGAATGACAATTGAGCGGTCATGCAACACTTTACCCATATAAAATTTTTATCTTTTTTTTGTGACAGATAGAGCTTTATTTTGGTGGTATTTAATCACCTTTGGGTTTTTTTTATTTTTTCTTAAACCAAAAACCACTGAAAATTTTGAAAAAAAACCCTTTTGTTTTTGGTTTTTGTTATAAAATTTTGTAAATAAGTGATTTTTCTCCTTCACTGATGTGCGCTAATAAGGCTGTAGTGATGGGCACTAATAGGCTGCACTGATGGACACTGACGGGCACTGATGAGGAGGCACTGGTAGGTGGCATTGATAGGCATCACTGATGGGCACTGAAAGGCAGCACTCATATATGGCACTGATGCACACTGATAGGCAGCACTGACTGGCACTGATAGGCAGCACTGATCGGTATCACTGACTGGCACTGATGGATGACACTGAAAGGCAGTTCAGATGGGCACTGATAGGTAGCATGGATGAGCACCAACAGCTGGACACTGGAGCACTGATGGACACTGACAGGTGGCACTGCTGGGGCTACACACATCATCAGGACACACTGATCATCAGTGCTCTGATTATCTGTGTACATGTCCCTTCCGAGGAATGCGGATTGCTGGCTCTCCTCTCCTCATGAACTGGCTCTCCTCTCCTCGCGAACTGTCAGCGTGACAGCTCGTGGGGAGAGAAATGCTGATAACCGGCATTTCCCTGTTTACATGTTATCAGCTGTGATTGGACACAGCTGATCACATGACCGAGTCGACATCTTCGGCTCTTTCCATTGATCAGTGATCCGCTGTGTCCGAGGGACACAGCGCACCACCGATCACCACGCTGCGCGCTCCCGGAGCCGCGCATGTGCAGTTAGAATGGGAGGACATCATATGACGTCCTCCCAGAAAAAGAGAACCGCCTTGCGCCTGTCATTGTACTAGATGGCGGGCGGGAGGCGGTTAAAGTAATTTTATGGCAAAGGATATCTGATCGGCTGCACTCCAAACAATCCAGGGGTAATGAATAAGCGCTGTCTTTAGCATGAAACGTGTTTACCTGGCAGTCCCCACTGTACTTCCACTGTTTGTATTGGTTTTATCTTGGTTCAATAAAGTGGATTGTTTGGAGTGCAGCAGATCGGGCGTCCTTTGTACTCATCTATGCAGCACACGAGCTGGGCTAGCACCTACAGGAGGTGTTGTGCTTGGAGATTGGGAGTCTCTACCTTGAGCAGCGGTAATACATATATATAATTTTATGGCAAGTACACTGTGAGATAGATAACCACTCACTCTTTAAGATACAATTTGGGTAAACGGTTATACCTTTTGTCTATTATCACAATGCACATAAATCTGACCATTCCATGGCAGCACAGTCTGCTTTTTGGAGAGAGATGGATTTGGACTAACAAGTATTAGTCTGTGACTCCTGTAAAAGAAGATATATTTAATGTAGATTTTGACAAGGAAATATGAAATTAAACTGTATAGGCTGCAGGGCTTACTGTGGCTCAATGCTCCCGTGCTGTGGTGTTACTGTAAGCCAGTGAGCTGGCCAGGATAAATCAAACTCTAACAATCGTGAAGAGTTGTTGAGAATTTGTACTTGACCTGTTCCAGCCAATCCATCTGGGATAGAATTGAAGAAAACAGCATACTATGAATTTTATGACCTCAACATACAGAACAACTGAATAATATTAGCAATATTGATTCATTGCCTTCTCTTGAAGTGTGCGTGTAGAAGAAAAAAACAAAAAAAAACAGTGCAAGTGGTTCTTCTTTAAAATGATAAATTATTTTAAAATGATATGGTAAGTTCAGTTACAGTGATGCTCATTAAAGCAGACAAAACTGTTGCTGACGCAACTGAGGCTCACAGAAGGATCTTCGGGGAAGCTCAGGTCCCAATTTTCACATGAAGTTACTACAACACCATACAGAAGCATGTTCTCATGGGATATGGGATCCTCATCTTTCCAAGATCCTTCAAAAAAAAAAAAAAAAAAAAGACCCAGAGATGTCACCTCGTCTAGGGGGAGCCCAGAGGAAACCTGGGAGTAAGATAAATTTTTTGATTTTCTTTTTGTTTTCTATTATATTCATAATACGTTATTTTGAAAGCAGGGGGTTGGGGACTGCCAAATAAGAAGTTTGGTGCAAGGTCAGCTTTGAAAAAGGCAGCCACATTTTTCTTTTGTAATTACAAAAATGAAATGCTTTATGATCGTGCAAGGTTAGAGGAAAAAAACAAAACAAAAACTGACCATAGATAATGCCATCAATTAAAGGAAAAAAAAATGAAAGGTTTTATGGCAACACAAAGCAAAAACAGCTTATATTATGTAGTCATGACAAACCTCTAGTCGGAAGTTTTAATTCAAGACACTCTGGTTGCACAATCAAAGTATTTTCAGATCTGTTGCCATTTCTTAAAGGTATGTCAACATTTGACAAATGAGATCCCTGAGGGCCTTTCACAGGCAGATCATCCAATGATGTGTTACTAATGCTTCTTTGTGTATTTTCAGCAGCTCTAAAATAAGACAGACAAAAACATGAAGAACTTATACTAGACAGTTTTCAATACTTCTCATTTTCAGAATAGTAAAGTATTATTAAACTTTCAACAGTTTTAAAACACCTCTATATAGACTAACTAAAAACACAAAAGAATAAACAAGTTGTTCCCATGAAAATTCAAAAGCACTCACATTGAGTCTTTAAACATCTAGGTCAGCCTTTCTCAACCGGGGAACTGTACTTTGGCGGTGAGGGAGCTCCATCAGACTGTTGAGCACACCCAGGAAAGTGAAATAATTGGGGGGGTTAGTGCAGTACCCAGCTGTGTGAAGGAAGGTGTCTGTGTCTGTCTTTGTGTATACACCTCTGTCACTTTTCAACAAGACAATGATCCTAAACACAAAGCCAAGGGAACTCTCAATCGGTTTCAAAGAAAGAAATAAAGCTGCTAGAATAGCCCAGCCAGTCACCTGACTTGAATCCAATAGAAAACATATGGAAAGAACTAAAGATCAGAGATCATAGAAGAGGTCCACGGAACCTTCAAGATTTAAAGACGGTTTGTGTGGAAAAATGGGCCAAAATCACACCTGAGCAAGGCATTCGACTAGTTTCTCCATACAGGAGGCATCTTGAAGCTGTCATTACCACCAAAGGATTTTGTACAAAGTAAAAGTGTTACTAATCCCACAACAGTAAAGTCAGCCTGTATATGCAGCTTGTTATACTCCCTGTGGAACCTAAGGGGTTAATCCTCTGCATTGTATAAAACTGCTGTTTGATCCTGACTTTTCTGCCCATCCTCTTGTTGAAATGACCACCGGATACAGACTGAATTCGTAGTCACATACACATACTCAGTTTAGTGTGTATTACTAGAGGTTTTTTTTTTTTTTGGAGAGTGCATGTGATCAAGGGTCAATCAGCACTGTCCAGACAGAAGGTCAGGGGGTTTTACATCCTCTTGGAGCAGAAAAAAAAAAATCCTCCAAGGTTTAACCAGTGCTCTGCTGATGTTACAAGACTGCTCTAACTGCTGTTGAAAAAAAGATAGATATTGAGCATTTATTTACTAAAATAATTGCATTTCTATGTTCTGTGTACTGTGGGAGACCAGTGATTGTAGGGCCCTTGGTTTAGTAACACTTTACATAAATTTCAGTTACCTTCAATACTTTTTTCCCTGTGTCATTCCAATTTTATTACACATAACTTAATTTCTGAATGTATTTGTTTTGGTTTCTTTGTATGTATGGATTGCATGGGTTGTTACCGACATGTGTTGAAAATTGCATGCCAATAGCACCTTTAGAAATATATTTGAGAAAAACGGTGATGTGTTCAATACTTATCTTTTCCGCTATATATGGGACACCCCTCCAAATCATTGGATTCAGGTGTTACCTCCATGGCCACAGGTGTATAAAATCAAGTACCAAGGCATGCAGACTGCTTCTACAAACATTTGTGAATGAGTGAATTCAAGTGTGGTACCATGATAGGTTGCCACCTGTGCATTAAGTCCATCCGTGAAATTTCCTTGACACATAATACCAATAACAGTTGACCGTGGAATATTATAATATATTATAATATAAACAAAAAACGAAAGTAACTGGGAACAGCAGCAACTCAGCCACTTAGTGGTAGGCCACATAAAATGAGAGAGTGGGGTCAGCGCATGCTGAAGCGCATAGTGCACAGAAGTCGCCAACTGTCTGCAGAGTCAACAGCTAAAGACTTCCAAACTTTGTGTGGCCTTCAGATTAGCATAACAGTGTGTAGAGAGCTTCATGGAATGGGTTTCACTGGCGAAGCAGCTGCATCCAAGCCTTATATCACCAAGTGCAATGCAAGCAATTGGATGCAGTGGTGTAAAGCACGCTGCCACTGGACTCTAGAGCAATGGAGACTTGTTCTTTGGAGTGACGAATCACGCTTCTGTCTGGCAATCCGATGGACATGTCTGGGTTTGGTGGTTGCCAGGAAAATGATATTGCCTGACTGCATTGTGGTAATTGTAAAGTTTGGTGGAGGGAGGATTATGGTGTGGGGTTGTTTTTCAGGGGTTGGGCTTGGCCCCTTCGTTCCAGTGAAGGGAACTCTTAAGGCGTCAGCATAGCAAGACATTTTGGACAATTTCATGCTCCCAACTTTGTTTGAACAGTTTGGGGACGGCCCCTTCCTGAACCAACATGACTATGCACCAGTGCACAAAGCAAGGTCCATAAAAGACATACAGGTGAAACTCGAAAAATTAGAATATCGTGCAAAAGTTCATTTAGTACAGTAATGCAACTTAAAAGGTGAAACTAATATATGAGATAGACTCCTTACATGCAAAGCAAGATAGTTCAAGCCGTGATTTGTCATAATTGTAATGACCTGTAATGAGACCTGAAAGAAGAATGCTAAACGTCTGATAATAAATCAATATCACAACTCACACGTCACCTGAATTTCACAGAAACAATTTACCCAAAACGGAACTAAAATGCAACTTGTTAAAAACTAGAGTAGGCAACTCTATTGTAGAGACATGCACTGTATATCTCTTCTGCAATAATATACCTTCCTGCTTGCAATTTTCTAATGAATGTACATGGAGGTGTGCATGGATAGCTCAGTGTGCAGTCCTAGCACACCGGACGTGCCAGAATGATTGACTTCACATGTATGGGATGATGTCATTCCCCACTGGCCATTCAGGAGACTGAAAAACCCAGCATCCAGAGAAAAGATAATAGCAGCCAGTGAGGGATGTAACTGTTACATTGCTGGAAAGTGGAAGGGAGTATGTATGGGAATTTATTTAGGCTTTAAGTTCTCAAAAGCCAGTAAATTTGAAGACCAAACTCTTGATACAAGTTTCAGGATTAGGCATTACATTTTGGCAACAAATCTTCACAGAATTTTTTATACACTCAAACATACAATAATTGGCACAAAATGTCAAATAATAAATACATGCGAGCGCACATGAGAGTAAATATCCACTAAGCACACAAGGTAACCAAAAACCTCAAATAATCAAGATAAAATAATGTGCAGCGCTAAAATCAATAAGATATAAAATGTACATATAAAAACAACAACAACATGAATTAAGAAATGTTCATAAAACGTGTTCTCCCACACCTGATTGCACAAGCACTGAATTATAGAAGAACGCAGGATTCCTACGAGCATTGATAGTCACTTTATGAACATTTCCGAATTCATTTTATTGTTTTATATGTACCTTTTATATCTTATTGATTTTAGCGCTGCACATTATTTTATCTGGCATAAAATGTCAACTTGCACTTTACAACTTGCACTTTTTATTTATCACAATAAAAAGCCTTACCATTTTGAAGGCATAGGACACATCTTACCTGCCCAAGCCAGTGCCTAGAGATGGTTGAACAGATGTCCTGGCTAAGTTAATATCTGTGCATCCAACAACTGATAGTACAATTTTGTGCATATTTCCATAGAAAAGCTGGATGTCATTTGGTCTTTGAGGCAAATCATAGACTGGTAATTAAAAACAAACATTCAGTGTTCAGGCAAAAACAAGAATACATGCTGCAAGTGATTAGAGATTAAAGGGGAAAAAAGGGCATACAGATTTTTTGCATGCACATTTTTTAGTTACTTATCATACAACTTTTCAAGTGGCTTTCACAATTTAACACACATTCCATATCCTGTGTTGTATTAGAGATATGTAAAATTTGCCACTAGAAGCAGCTCTGTCTTTCACTGCACTTGGCCTACTACATAAAGTAGAGAGCAAATCTTCATAAAGTCTTCTAAGCGAAAGCACTACTAAGATCATTACTAGTGCTATTCAGCCACCCACGATTTATTTTCAAAATGGCTGGTAAACACCATTACTTTCATATTAAAATCTAGGTCAGATGACTGCACATTCTTCTGTCAAATCAGTGGACAGAATCTTATGACACGGTGGTGAAGTTAGTAAATCATGTACTAATGGGTAAGGTGACATAATGACATCACTGCTGAATGGGGAGAAAAAGATCAGAAGACTGATAATGCTGCAAATTCAGAAGCATTAACATGGCATAGTTTGCCCATTGTAGAAAATGCAGCCAAAACAGCAGCACTGGCAGGAGCAACAGCTACAAATTTATCGGATTACAAAAAGGATATCTACAAGTACGAGAAGAAAAGCTCAAATTGGCTGTAAAACCTAAACAGTTTTACCTTAATTCATTTCCTGCATTAAGGTAAAAAAATGTTTCAATCTCTATCAACTCCCCCCACCCAAATACCTATTGGGGCTAGATCTCAATCCAGAGCTGTGTCCATCAGCAGTGGCTTTCTCCTCTTCTTCCTACAGGCTGTGCCAATGGCTCCCAATGCTGTCAATCAACTCCTGTTATGAGGGAGCAAGGGTGGGGCTGAGACTCATTGTCTTGGTCTATAAACGCAGGCAGTACTGCTTAGGATTGAGCCCACAGGTGTGTCACAATAGGAATCAGTTTCCTATCGTGGCACACTAAGGAGAGGAGGAGCCAGGAGCGCAGGTGGGGAACCTGAGTGGAGAAGGATCAGGGATGCTCTGTGCAATACCACTGCATATAGCAGGTAAATATAACATAACAAAAAAAAAAAAAAAATGGGAATTTTGACTTGCCTGTAAATTTTCATACCTTGGAACACAGGATCTGTATCAGACTATGGATTATACACTGCTAACTTTAGGTGATTTGACACCTGCAAAAACTTGACTTGGAATGCGTGGACCCCCACCATATATACAGTGCATTCATAAAGTACTCAGAGCCCCTTTGTTTTTTTTTCAATTTGGTCATGTTGCAGTTTGATGCTACAGTTGCTTAACCACTTGCCTACCAGACACTTTTGCCCCCCTTTTTGCCCAGGCCAATTTTCAGCTTTCAGCGCTGTTGCACTCTGAATGACAATTGTGCGGTCATGCAACACTGTACCCATATGAAATTGTTATCTTTTTCACACAAATAAAGCTCTTTTGGTGATATTTAATCCCCACTGGGTTTTTTTTATTTTTTGCATTATAAACAAAACAAAGAGCAAAAATTCTGAAAAAAAAAAAAAAAGCTTTTGTTTCTATTATAAAATTTTGCAAAGAGGTAAATATTCTCTTTCACTGATGTGCATTGATGAGGCTGCACTGGTGGGAATCGAGGAGGCACTGATGATGCTGCACTGATAGGTGCCACTGCTGGGCACTTTTGGGGCTGTACTGATAATCAGTGCCCGGATTATCAGTGCAGATGTCCTCTGACACTTGCCAGTTAATGGCAGTACTTTCGTCATGCTGTAACAGCATGACTGTATTTACTTTATGATCAGCTGTGTCAATGGACATAGCAGATCACGTGGTAAAAGGCCGCTGTGATTGGGCTTTTACCCTGTCATGTGATCAGCTGTGTCCAGCGTGCACATTCTGTGGGGACGTAATATGACGCCCTCCCAGAACTGGACAACCACTCTGTAGCCCGGCTGTCAAGTGGTTAAATTAATTTTTTTTTCTCATTAATCTGCACTTCCCCATAATGAGAGAGCAAAAACAGAATTTTAGAAAGGCTTGCAAAATGTATAAAAAGAAAAACTGAATTATCACATTGGCATAAGTATTCAGATCCTTTGCAACAATGCTTGAAATTTTGCTCAGGTGCCTCCCATTTCTCTTGAACGTTGCTGAGATGTTTCTACACCTTGATTGGGGACCACCTGTGGTAAATTAAATTGATTGGACATGATTTGGAAAGGCACACACCTCTCTATAAAAGGCCTCACAACGACAATGCATACTGTATTAGAGCAAAAGCCATGAGGTAAAAGGAACGGCCTTGCAGAGCTCAGAGACAGGATTATTGCAAGGCACAGATCTGGGGAAGGCTACAAAAGAAAAAAAAAAAAAAAAAAAAAAAAAAAAAAGCTGCACTGAAAGTTCTCAAGAGAACAGTGGCCTCCATAATTCTCAAATGGAAGAAGTTTGGCACAACCAGGACTCTTCCAAAAGCTGGTCGCCCGTCAAACTGAGCAATCGAGGGAGAAGGGCCTCGGCAAGAGATCCTGTGTGGAGATGAGACAAAGTTCCAGAAGGATGACCGTTAGTGCAGCCCTATACCGATCTGGGCTATATGGCAGAGTGGCTAGACAGAAGCCTCTCAGTGCAAAACACATGAAAGCCCAATTGGAGTTTGCAACAAAACACCTGAAGGACGCTCAGACTGTGAGGAACAAGATTCTCTGATCTGATGAAACCAAGATTGAACGATTTGGTCTTAATTCCAAGAATTATATCTAGAGGAAACAAGATACCACTCGTTACCTGTCCAATACCATTCCAACAGTGAAGCATGGTGGTGGCAGCATCATACTGTGGGGATGTTTTTCAGCATCAGAGACTGCGAGACTAGTTGGGGTTGAGGGAAAGCTGAATGGAGCAAAGTACAGAGATAGCCTCAATGAAAACCTGCTCCACAGAAATCAGGACCTCAGACTGGGCCAAAGGTTCACCAATATGACAACAATCCTAAGCACAAAGCCAAGACAACACAGGAGTGGCTTAGGGACAACTCTGTGAATGTCCTAGAGTGCTCCAGCCAGAGCCCTGACATGAACCCTGCTGAACATCTCTGGAGAGACCTCAAAATGGCTGTCCAACTAATCCCATACTGATTGAGTTTGAGAGAATTTGGAAAGAAGAAAAGTAGAAAATCCCCCAATCCAGGTGTGCAAAACTTGTCAGGTCATATCCAAAGAGACTCAAGGCTGTAATTGCTGCCAAAGGTGCTTCAACAAAATACTGAGTGAAAAGTATGAATACCTAAGTACGTGTGATATTTAATTTTTTTCTTTTTAATAAATTCAGAGACATTTCTAAATTTCTGTTTTTGCTTTTGGGGCACAGAGTGAAGAATGAGAAAAAAAAATCGAATTTAAGCAACTGAAGTATCAGGCTGCAACATAAAATTGAAAAAAAGTGAAGAGGCTCTGAATACATTACGAATGCACTGTAACCACATCCACTCTGTGGGACACTCCAATTTGGTAGCTAGCAATAAGGAAAAACAAAGAACAGAGGGGAGGGGGACCTGTGTCCTGTATTGTACTCCAAGATATAGATTTTGCAAGCAAGTCAAAATTCTCATTATCTTAATGATACAACATAGGATACAGGAGGTGCTGTCACAGACAGTATAACATCCCTAAGCAATAAACTTAGGGATGTTCAAAAATATCAAACAATGGAAAACAGGACTACAGGGGGGGAAAAAAGTCCCCAAAATTCTCATATGACAGCTTGAAGCACCTTATGGCTGAATCTCACATCAGCAGAGGCTTGGATATCCACCTGGTAAAATTTTGAGGTATGAAGAGAGGACCAGTTGGCAGCTTTGTAGACCTTTAAAATTGTTTTTGGGTGCGGAAAAGCCAAAGAAACAGCTGGGAGAGTGGGTCCTGATAGGAAAGGGGAGAACCTTTTCCTTGTGGGCATAAGCCCTGGAAATGAGCTGCCTGAGCTACCTAGCTATAGTGAAAGAGGATACATAATGACCCTTCTTGGAACGTTTAGGGAGGACAAAACGGGAATAATTTTTTTTGGAAGGAAGGAAGATATTGCAACTAGGTAAGCCTTACCTGCTTTCACCACATCCAGACAATGGAGTGAAATCTACTGGTGTGCTTCAGGGCAGGATGGAGGGAAGGGAGGATAATATTCTCACTGAGGGGAAAGGAAGAGACCACCTTGGGAAGCAAGGAAGATTTGGGTCTCAGGACAATCTTATCTCTATTCAAAGTAAGAAAATGTTCTATAGAAGAAAGAGCGACTAACTCGGAAACACATCAGAGGTAATGGCCACAAAAAACGGACACTTTGCAGGTGAGATCCTCCAATAGGATATCCTGCATTGGTTCAAATAGAGGTTTTTGAAGAACCAAAAGTAACAGATTTAGATCTCAGGGAAATACTGGAGGTCGAAGCGGGGGATTAATATGAACCACACATTATATAGAATGTCTGTGTGTGAAGCCAAAAGTCTTTGGAACAGAATGGATGGGGCAGAAACTTTTAGAGTGCTAAATGTCAGATGCTAGTCTAGCCTTGACTGCAGGAATAGAATATACCAGAGTGTCGGGGGCATATTTTGGCTGGTGCAAAAACAGGCACCTCACAAGTGTGAAGGTAGAGCTTAAAAGTAAATTCTCTTGCTTTGAATACAGTGGGAATGACAGAATTAGTAATGCCCCTATTTTTTAGGACCTGAGATTTAACAGCCATGTCGTTAAAGCCAGCAACTGAGAAGCAGGGTGAACAGAGGGCTTTGTGACAGTAGGCCTGGCTAATCCTGAATAGGCCAATGCCCGGCTTGTACGCCAGAAGTTTGAGTATGTCTGTGTACCAAGTTCCCCTGGGCCAATTTGGGGCAATAAGGATCACCAGAATCCATTTCTCCTCCACCTTGCAGAGCAGCCAAGGGAGAAGCTTCAATAGAAAGAATGCATAAACCAGACTGGATGGTATCCAATAAATCAATGGGGCATGCACCATAAAGGCCAGGTAATTTGGATCTGGTCCCAGACCTGTAAAGTTTCTTGTTAAATCTGGAGGCCATGATGTTCACTTCTGGTGTTACCCACTTCTGACAAAGTATCACAAAGTCCAAGCACTGCCTACTCAAAATCTGCCTGCCAATTTCCCACTTTCTGTATGTATATGTCCAAGAGAGTGTTGGTACAACACTTGCCTCCTCCACAGCTGCTTCACTTCTAGTTCCCCCTTGGTGGTTTATGCTGGCCACAGCTGTATTCTTGTCCAACTGTAAACTTATTGGGAGACCATGTAGGAAAGTCAGTCTAGTCACTCTCAGTTGGCATTCATTGTTACCACAGAGCAGTATAGAATGATTTCTTGGATTCTACTGCTGATTTGGAAATCCACAATTCCAAAGAGATTTTGGCATATCATGGGAGCCATGGGTGATTAAAATATCTGTTTGTCCTAAACTGTGATAATGTTGAGCTGCAAAAGTCTGGAGAGGAACTGAGGAAAGGGAACCACCTCAAAAGAAGGCCACCATGAGTCTAGAACTCGAGGGGTGCCGGGTTAAATCGGAGTCTGACAGCTGGAACTTAGGAGAAACAATCTCTTGGGGGAAGGAACGTTTTGGCCTAGGCACTGTAGATGGTTGGATTGCTAAATGGTAGACTAAATGGTATCCAAAAGTTTGAAGATGCTGAATCTTATGTTTGAATGTTGGAAAAGACAAGACTGAGAAGTCTTTCAGCAGTGGGTAATCTAGGTATACTGTGACATGGATGCCTTGAGTCCTATCTTGGCCAGGACAGGAGATAGCACCATTCTGAACAAAAGTGCAAGTTTGATATTAAAAATTTCAAAAAAAGTACATTTACAATCACTTGTCCATAATGGAACAAGTGCCTCCGCTGGGTTTTGGGACTGAATAGGTTTGATTAAACCCTTTGAAAATTTCTTCTGCAAGACGTAAGATTACCACTCGTAACTAATGTTAATTAAATGCAGCCAACAATTCTGCATATCTGAGGTGAAGCTGGCATATTAGAAATTAGGAATTGATGAAGGGGCAGGGACAGAAATTTTATTTTTTAGCCCCTTGAAATAACAAATTGGGCCCAGAGATCCACGATATCTTGGATACAGACTGGCACCAAGACCAACAGAAGCCCCCTTACTACAGAGAGTGGGGATGCTCCTTCATTGTGGAGAGGGCTTCTGAGTAGGCTTTGAGGGTACTGGGATCCAAGGCTTGCGATGGAAGGATGGATGCACGTTAAACTTAGGGGAAAATGCCTTGAATAATCAAAAGGATCCCTTTCACCGAAAAGAGGTAGTGGATGTAATAGTAGTAGTGGGCATGAACTGCAATCGTTCCAGATGCACAGGATCCTCAAAGTGTCTGACAAATGGACACATCCGCAAAGGCCAGTTGTAGAGCTTTAATAAGGTCTCAAAGCACCAGTTGAGTGAATCCTTAAAAGAGGAAGCATCTTCAACAGGAACAGTGCGATGTATGTTGAGAATGAATATGGGAGGACAGAACACTACCAGAAATGACCATTTATTCTGTAACAGTGCAAGGTCCTGTCACTGGGTAAATATTGGTAGAAATGGTCAGGAGAAGGACACAGTTTGTACATGTGCTGAGTGCAGGACTATGAAGCAAAAAATGTGATTGTAGAAAACTGCGTTTGCAGCTTTCTCCGGATTTTGGAATTTGCGTATGGGGCTCCATAGTTTGGAGATTTCAAAGTGCCTTGGGAAGACATGAAGCTGTGTGTGTTAAAGAAGTCCAAGGCTGCGTGCAAGGCTTAGCCAGTGGTCCTGGAGACCAAAACAAGCATAGGTACTGCTGACCAGAAAGTCAGGTGGCCTGGTATTTTTCATTTGTATTTTTTTTTCTGGAGAAGAACCCCTGTATGGGAAAGCTTATGTTGGACTTTTGTTTTTTGCCTTTTTATTAAACATGTGCTACCAGGCCCATAAATAGAGCTCCTGACTGACGTACACTTACTTTGAAAAGCATCTACCACTAGAGCTAATCATTCCCCACATCACATTTCATAAATTTCTTTTTCATAGGATATCCTGTAATTCAGCGGGAGTTTGGAAGGAAGAGCTACCTTGTCAGGATTTTGCCATGCATGCAAGGCACAGTTAGCTTGTGTGTGCAGAAGAAAGGTCTTAACATTTCCAGAGATTTTTTTCCTCAGCTGTCTAGTGTCCACTGGAACTTGTTTAGACTTCAGAGTAAATTCAGATGCACACACATTTAAGTGAGCCTATGCTATGAAGCTTTAATTTGTGGCTCTGCAGGATCCTCTTCTGCATCCATCTCACCCACCCTAAAGATGTTATGAGGATCTGGGTCATACTTCTGAATAGGGTTCAGGTGGTGGAGAGGAAAAACGCCCTGGAGACTGAAGGCTCTAAAATGGGAGAGGGTTTACCAAAGAAATGAGACATTGTTGCAATAAAATCTGCCTTAGTCAGATAGGCAGTTTGTTGCTTGCCTGAAAGGCAGCTAGAATTAGAGGAAGGGAGCTGTCAATATGGGTTCTTACTCTGGCACAGGGGGAGCAGCTATCACCTTAAGCATTTTTCTGGTTCTCCTTGGTGTCATCTATAGCCCAAATGCTGTTAGGCAGTTTCTCAGCTCCTCTGCACTTTGTCTCCACCATTGCTAAAATGAGGGGATCCCCTATGGGGTATCTACAAAACAAATGCAGAACAAGAGGGTATTTGCATGTCTGGGAAGAAAGCTTCTTCAACCTAGGTGCTGACCAATGTCCTTTGTGTCTTTTGAGAAGCAGGGAGGGCAGAGCAAATGTCCTTCTTGCATTCTCTGCAGAAACGGAGGTCGGAAGAGTGTCAATTGGAAGGCATTGGTAACTATGTAACAAGCACGCAACAACGTTGTATATTAAAAAACAAAACAATTTTTTTTTAAATAAATCTAAATAGCTTACCTTCCGCCAATTTACTTGAAATATTTAGAGATAACACACTAAACAAAAAATCACTCCATGGGGAAAGGTCACAATTACGTGGGAAACCCTTTATTACCTTATTCCATGTTTCCAAAAGACACCAAACTTCACCTGTCATTGAGGGCATACCCCAAAAGGGGACTTTAGGGTCTGGGTACCATAGGAATGGACCACAGTCCTGGAAATGTATAGCAACCTATGGCCACTACACTTGTTGCACCACGTGAAGAGGTGGGTGCCGAACGCAGGATCCAGTGCCCATTGCAAACATTACAGGCTGGTCCAACTGATGCACGGTCTGGGTACAGCTACCAAGACGTACACTGAGGGCAACCAATCTAGAAACTACTAGTGAGCCCTGAGGTAATAAGCAGTTGGATTTTGATAGAAGTGTCAATCGAATGTAGCACAGAAAAAAAATGGAGTCCAACGGAGAGGGTCAGGTTATATGAGGGTGCACTAGAGGCAGGGGGTTGGGTTTGGATTGTTGCCAGTAAAACTTTTGCTAATGTTTAATCACCTGAAAGAAGCACCATATAACTCATGGTCTATGACTAAATATCCTGTGTCCCTGAACTATACCGATTAAGATAAAAAGGTTTGCCTTCACTCCTACTTTAATTTATATTTAAGGAACTTTTGTATTCTGCTTTAAAATAGAAGTATGGCCAGAGCCTTTTCTTTTGTGTCACTGGTGTGCACTCTTGTAACCCAGAAACAGTTGCCAGCTTCACAGGAGCTGCTCTGGCCTCTAAAAGGGTCCAAATCATATTGTTGGGATCCACCCAGATGCCTGATCGGCAGCGCACGGCTGTGAGCTGAAGCCAGCTGCTCCTGCTCCCTCCTCACCCTGGCACTACAAGGAGCGCTGGAGGGGCAGAGTGGAGTCACCACTTCCTGCTAAGAGTGGACTGAGAACTGAGTGATCAACAGTCATGTGATCGCTCAGTTCTCGGGCTTAGACCCGGCAGGGGACAACTACAGCATCAGAATGATGGTGTAGCAAGGAGGTAATTAGGTATTTTTGTTTTTCTACATAGCTCAACCGTAATCTTTAACTTAGGAAAACGGTAAAAGGTAAGTGCATTTATCAGTCATTGGCTCTCCCCTTTTTTTTTTTGGAATTACAAATACTTGTAAAACCTCCAGTGCCACAAAGCCTTCTGCCTAAAACAGTCTGTAGACGTGCCTCTAGCTAATGTGAGTTACAGACTGCTGAATTCAGTCTACACTTTGTGACCAATTAGGTTTTGCAAATAAAGGTAGAGGTAAACCTGACTGGGCCTACAAAGCACCTAAACTAACAGGCATCGACACCTTCATTTCCAATCAAGGCTCTTGTCCAGCCAAGTAAAATGACTTATGCATGATTGTGACAAGAACAATGCTTTAATAAAATACCGGCTTGCAACTTAACAGTATAACTGTATTTTACCTTCACAGACTAGCTGTTCACCTGGGAACTCTTCATCAAATCTTGTATTTTTTAACTTTGAAAACTCTGCAATGACTTTTTGGGCCATCTCTGGCTTGAACAGTACTGCCCTGGAAGAATTTAAAACAGATTACAAAAAAAAAAAAAATGTACTCATTTATCACTATATCCTAGTACAAGGAGAATTAAAAAAAAACTGTTGCATATACAATACCCAAAAAGAAATTGTGATTTTTTTTGGAAACACCATTTTTATTGCTAAAAAAAATAGCTGATAGCACATGACAATTACAAGTTCCATGAGCGAAGCATTGGTAAACAGAACCTCTTGTGTAAAGATTGAAAAATTGTGAGGAATGTAAAGGCCTGTGTCAATTTGTTTACATCTGATGGTTTTGCATTTTTCGACATGTCTATTGGAAATCAAGGTCTGGATAAAAGCGCACAGATGTGTCCCAAAGGAAATAAGTGAATGGTATATATCAACTGCGATTGGTGGGGAAAAAAACTCACTGCTGTCATGGTAAAAACACATCGGTTTGTGGGAAGTATGAACAGGAGCCAGGCGCTGTGTAGTTTTGTGATAAAAGGAATACACCTTATATGGAGGTGTGCCTTTAATAATTCATATGGTAAAAAATAAATAACCAGCCTGTGGCTTTAAGAAGCCAGGTTCCAAGATGGACGGCCCATCCACTCAGAGGGAAGCAGTGTAGTAGAATACCTGTCAGTGCAGGGACCACGTGTACCCGACGTCCCAGCGTCCTGGATGACGTCACCACAATGTGGAGACACGAAGGGGGGGGGGGGGGAGCCGCAGCTTTAGAAGGAAGAGGCCGGTTGCCGGGACAACATGTTTCACGCACATGCGCTTTATTAAGTCTCAAGAGATGGGCCGTCCATCTTGGAACCTGGCTTCTTAAAGCCACAGGCTGGTTATTTATTTTTTTTACCATATGAATTATAAAAGGCACACCTCCATATAAGGTGTATTACTTTTATCACAAAACTAGACAGCGCCTGGCTCCTGTATACTAATGGAAATCAAAACCACTTGACCTTTTAACCTATGTATGACCTACTTCAACTACAGGTCAAATTTACCTGTCAATTAATTCTGAATTAACCTAACAGCATCACAAAAAAAAATTAAACTGCTGGTTACATACATACATACATAATAAATATAAATTATATATATATACACAAACACACAAAACCCTGTCACCACAGATCTCAAAGGATAAGTTCACCTTTTAACCAAAAGTAATAAATGCACATTTTTGTTTGCAACAGATCGCTGGTGCCATGCAGGTCTCCTCCAAAACTTGTCAATTCATCTGCTTGCCCTTACGGCATTTACTAGACAGTTTATATTCCTTGTGACAACAATGAAAGTAATCCAAAAAAAATAAAATAAATAAACATCCCCTGTGACAGCAATAAACACGACAGGTAATTTTATGGAGTCAGGTGTTTGTATAAAGTTGGAAACTAAAGTATTGGGCCGCTTGGGAGGACACTTAGTGGAGTGAACAAGAACACTTGTTGCAGTAGGACCGATTGTAAACACAGATATGACAGTTCAAATCTATGACCCTTGGTAAATATGCCACCATATATTTCCTCCTAAAAGTTATATAAAATGGCATGTCTTGGGGGGATGCAGGGGTACAGGGATGAGTAACCCCGCCTACCACTCCCATACCCCCTCTGGTATAACATTCGTGTGCCAGAACTCAATCCCTTGCAGGATCCAGTCCTATGGACATCCCATGGGATCCTATCCTATTTACATCAGGTTCTATCCACTGCAGGCGGATTCTAGCTCTGCATAATGAATTTTTCCCTTTCCGATCACATGTTCCTTCGCTATTTAAACTCTGCCATGCCTTGTGAGTTCAGTTCCCAAATTTGTTTTTCTCACTATCTTCCCTATCACTTTTGGAGGTCATTTTAAGTACGGATTCCCCCCTCTATACAATATACTACTTCTGTCCTCTGCAACCAAATTAATATACAGAGTTAAAACTAAGTGGAAGTCGGATTTGGGTATGGTGGAGGATGCAGATTTGGAGGAGATTATATACAATTAAAAAACTGGTATCCCCCACCAGAGTTTGACCACTTGATGTGAATATATATTCTACACAGGGCGTACTTAACTCCAGTCTCTGGCTATAGACCTTCCCATAGCCCATTATGCCTTTTATGTTCTACCACTACTGACATCTTCTGTGCTCTGTGGTTCAAACCTGGATTCAAATTATATGGTTTCACCATGACCATGTGGGCTCTCCTCTGTCCCTACATCCCAAACAATGCCTGTTCGGCCTCCTCACTGGTAATGATGCAGATACATTTTTGACCATATTCTTTTATGAAACACTCTTTAGTGCACAAACAGTGACTGCACGATAACACCACCAAGACCATCAAGGTTGGTGGAAGTGAACTCCACTCTGCCATACAAAAGTAATACAGAGGATGTCCCTCCAAATACAACAACATTTTGGATCGATGGCTAGCACAGCCCAATACATGTGTTTAGGGATGCCATATTTGTACATTTAGAGCTAGGCTTGAGTGTTGAAGTGTCCTAAACTGTTCCACTCTGCAAGTTAGGAATGGCTACAGAGTGGCCCTGCCACCTGAATGCTATGCCACTGTAGTGGCCTATTTTCCAGCAGCCCATGTATGTAACTTTGACCTTTATACCTTGATAACTTCATATGTATCCAAAATGATAGACGTATACATCAGGTTTTGCTACTCCTCAAGGCAGTGTACCTTCCTAGATTTTGTTCCCTTTTTTATCATCCGTTATGAGATTGACTTGTTCTGTTATGTTATCTTATGCTGTGTTTTTACATGACCCCATAAAATAGGATTATTTTGTTACTCACCAAACAATTCCTGTCTCTGATTTAATTGATGGACACAGCTATTCTGATTGTTGACCGTATAGTTATAGCACCACCTACAGACGTAAGACACTAGGCAAATAAAAAAACAAAGCACCGCCTATGGGCAGTCCTAGCTGCTATAGGAAAGCCAGTTAGGTTACAAAGCAGTGTCAGACTACGGTGCTATAGTCACAGGCCCGTATCACTCCTTAATGTTTGCCTAAAGCTTTTTGCTAGTGCCACAGCCTGATCCAGGAGGCCACAGATCTGTGGCCTCAAATTACTGGGAGGGCTCAGAAATGTAAAAGGCAAAAGTCCCCAGGAAGGGCTGGGAGTGAGCAGCATCCCTACCACCACAGTAATCCAAGCCCAGCAAACAGCCAAAGGTGCTGGTGGCAATGCCCACTCTGTAGGCCCCCCTAGCCTCTGGGATCCCAAAGTCACCCAGGAAAGGGGGGTCTATGCAGCTGTGTACCAGTGGGCTGCCATATAGCCAGGGGAGAGATCCAGCCACAAGCGAAGGGAACAGCACACGCAGCCCACTGTCCCACCAGCAACACCTTATGGCACTTAGAACTGAGGGAGCCAGGGGAACAAGGCACTCAACACCACACCAATTCACCCCATAAGGGGGAAAGGGGGTGGGAGACAGACCCTGGAGGACCATCCAGCTCAGGGAGTATGGGCACCCCATGCAAGCCTGGGGAGAGAGGAGGGAGCATCTATTTACTAATCCACTGAGGTTTTGGGTAACACTCCCAAGACAGATCCCTCCTCTCCAGTGAAGTTGGGGTGTTGGGCAGGGTAAGAAAGACAGTCTCCAGCGCCCAGTCATATGTATTCCCGTGAAACGTTTAACTCGCTGGCTGTCCCAGTCCAGGACGGGGTATTGTCACAGCTGACCCAGCACTCATCTAAAGGTCTGCACACACTCGCTGGCCAGACTGGGGTGACCACTGGATCTAGTTTATCCAGCCTGTCACCCAGCCCGGCTGTTGCATTGAAGGAAAAAATCCCAAGAAAAGTGAAAAAGGAAAAATGGCTATGGAACCACAGGTCCCAGCAGGGAAAAAGGTCCTTACTCCTGAAACACTAGGCAGAAAAAACTGGCTTGCCTATAGCAGAGAGGGAGTTTTATACCAGCTATGACTGTCCATAAGCGGTGCTGTGTTCTTTTTCTGCCTAGTGTCCTACTCCTGTAGGTGGTGCTATAACTGATGGTCAAGAATCAGAAGAGCTGTACCCATCAAATGAACGTACAAGAAAATGCTTTTACCATGAAAATGGCATGTCTGATGTGCACTGGTTTAGAGGACTGTATGCACATATTCTAGCTTGCCTGGACAGACTTAAAGAAAGCAAGGGCAAGTGCAATCAGCATGGTCTGTAATTAATATAACAGCATAAGGAAAAGGTTCTGTTTGATGACATTGTGTCTGCCAATCCAAGAAAACTGCTTAGATGTCCAAGAGGAAAAGTCCTTTCTAAATGAAGAGAGGAGCAGAATGGAATTAAGAGTAAAGTTGTGACACGTTATTTGGTAATTGAATACCCAGATATCAATGTTTTTTTGCCCATCTAATTGGAAAATTGGACAGGAGTTTTTGAAGTATTGATTTGGCGAGGGTTAGATTTAGTGCCTACGACTTTAGATAATATGGAAATTTGATCTCCATATAATAAACTGTCGCATTAAGTTTGAAACAAATGTCCACATTGTTCCAAAAATTAAAGCAGTTCATCATCGTATGCTTAAAGGTTATGTTGGTTTTGACCCACCACAACCCCCGTGATGTCCCTGCTGACCCTGATGGATCTTAGCAAAGATTCCAGGGTCAGTATGAAATTAAGTGGCAATAAGGGACAAACCTGCTGGGTACTAATATGGAGGCTACAGTAAATGACGGGGACAAAATCACATTCATTTTGGCATAAGCAGAAGGGCATGAGTAAAGAGCTCCCTCCCAGGATGGCATATGCGGGTCAAGGCCTATAAACTCTAAAGTATGTTGGATGAACTTTCAATCGAACCTGTCGAACGCTTTTTTGGGCATCTGTTGATAAAATAAAGGCTTGTCTTGGGTTTAACACAGTCAAGTAAAAATCGGATTATTGCTCATGTTGTACCATCTCAGGCTTCATGGGAGGGTATAAATTTTAGTTGATCACGATGGATTATCTTAGAAATATGGGGAATTATAAGGGTGATCAAAATTTTAACAAAAAGCTTTAGGTAGACATTAAGGAGTGATATGGGCCTAAACCTTTAGCACTGTAGTAGATCTTTACCTTCTTTAGGAAAGACAGCTACAGTCTCTGGTTGTAAAGAGGAGCCTTGAGAAAACATTTGAAGGCTGTTGTAAAATGGGGTTGAATGTTTGAAATGATTTATAATATATAAAAATGGTGAAGCCATCTGGTCCCAGAGCTCTGCCTGTATCTTGAACCATCTGAAAGGGAGACCAGCCTGTGTTAAGTCTTGATTGTGGTACTATGGGAGTCTAACTAGGTTCAACAATGGTTTTCGAAGTTAAATTGTATATAGTTTACCACTAAATTTGCTGAATGTGGTGGCAATATATTGTACCATTACAAATTTTGAGCCATCTGTTTTCAGAATATACAGAGCAAACAATTGGGCACCTTGAGATCTGAGGGCATTAGCGAGCGATTTGCCACACTGGTTGCCATATTCACAAGAGATGTTTGCATTTAAAGAGGCCATTGCTCTAAGACCAGATATTGCAGACGTTAGCGAAATAAGTGAAATAAGAGTCGATAAGCTATAACGGTTAGTTACTGTTTGCATTTGTGTAAAATTTCCACATGATGAATCTGGTACGTGGGTCGAACATTAGCTGTGTTATTTTTTTCTTTGTCTTTTAAATTTAATTCACACCCCCTCTCAAGTTTGTTTGTGTATTTCATTTGTAAGTGTGTCCACTATGACCAGGGCCTGAAGTAAGGACTAAAATGCCAGTGTCAAGGGGGGGATGGATATTTAAGCAGGCTTCTTAAAGTTCAGAAGGCTTTCAAAAAGTTGCAGCATTTGGCCAGTACTAAATTCTAACCATTGGAAGTGTTCACATGATTTCCCTCAACAGCCCAGAATATGTAAACAAAGTGGCCATTATGCAGGGGTGCAAACAATTCAATGTAAGCATTTAAAAAAAAATATCACCTGTCTTTATTCCATAGTTTTGTACATTTCAAAACAATTTTTTTTAAGTGCTTTATTATAGAATACCCACATTCCCATACACTTATCCCACCATTACAGGCAATGGGACAGCAAATATGGCTGTTGGAGCAGGGGGATTTTTAGGTTAATCGTTTAGAGTGCAACTTGAGGCCTTAATATGGTACTTAAAAGGTTAAAAAAGGTACATTCTAGTAAGTGCAAAACTACTGACTGCGTTATCCGAACTACACAGCACATTTACTTAAATACAGCTTACACCTGAGAAGTTTAGGTTCTTTTTCTTATTTAGAATTCATAGTTACCTATGTGGGTGCAGCATTGGTCCGATGCAGCGTCTCTCCCCTGCTGGCTCTGACTGAGACCTGAGCGATCAAAGACCGCTGATCACTCAGTTCTCAGTGAACGGTGAGCAGAGAGCTGGTGACTGTCAGTAACAGGTTCTCTGCTCTGTCTCTCCAGCGCTCACTGGAACACTGGGCTGTGGAGGGGGCGGGATTGGCTGGGTCAAGCAGAAGAATGGAGCTGAACAGTGCGGTAGTGGCTTCACTTGAATTTAATGGCTTTGTGAATACTGGATGGAACGGATTCTCTTCAGCTTTTACAAGCTAGGATCAAACCATGCTGATTTGTACAGGCATTTCTTTTTGTTTGTTTTAAACCTCTAGATGGTTAATATTTTAAAAAAAGATATGATCAGAGTATTAAAAGATGAATTATATCTGACTTAATTCCTGGTAAATTGAACAGAGCTAAACATACCTGCGAAACTGCTGTCGGGATACCTCATCACCATAGAAAAAACACACTGTACATAATTTGTTCAACTGATAATACGGCTCTTGATTTCTTGCATTGTAGGATATTGTAACTATCTATTTAAAGCAAAATACAAATAAAAAACACAAAGTGATTATAGAAAAATACAGACAAGCTTCATCAGAAATTGTATAAAGCTACAAAACAACTTTTTCCACAGATGTTTTCTTTGAGTAATTTATAAAAGCTATTACCAGCATCTCCCCAGTTCGCTGTCAAATTATTTGACCTGGTCTATTTCTCCACCATTTTTTTTAACAATGTCTAAAAAGGATTTTTTTCCTCTATTTTACAAAAATGTAAATTGACAAAATGTCAAAGATTTTTTCCTTCCACATTATTGCAAACTGAACACATATGGAAAGGTATGGCTGAAGAAAAAACATCTGGAAAAAAGTTGCAAAATAAATCCTTTTTTTAGTATTTAATATAGGATAAAGGTTTTCGAACACAATAAGGGCTGGCTAAAAAGGCAACACAACAAAGGATGATTTACAGATACTTTTGGATACAATCTCATACTGAGCCCTGTGTTAAGGGTACAAGTCACTGCTGTGTGGACTCATTCCAGTTCAATAAACAATGGACCCAGGGGTGGACTGACAACTCATTGGCCCCCCCGGGCAATAGGGGATCATGGGGTCCCTGTGTTCTTGCCCAAACTCAAAAAAGCCTATGAAAAAGGTACCAGGGGCATCTCATGGGGCCCCCTACTGACCCCAGGCCCTCGGCAGTGCCCGAGTTTCCAAATGGTCAGTTCGCCCCTGAATGGGCCTCTTTCAGCTGACGTGAAAATTATGCTTATTGGAAACACCTCCTTCACCTTTTGGCTGAATGCTACATACAGTAAATATCAATATTTCATATTTACCTGACAAAAATTGGACTTTTGTACTGTACAATCCTTTTCAGAGTTCACTGAAGGACATAGCTTCAATTCTTCACAGATGGTGTGATGCCACCACATTCAGGAGCAGGACGCTAGGTGAAACTTAAGCTAAAAACACACTTAAGGAGTGTTCCTCTGGTGGTGGCCAAACCCTCCATCGGCAGTACAGGATTCAGTTAGTAGCCAGCAGTACCAGGACAATAATACAGAGACAGTCAAAAATTGTTGATTGAAGAACACAGCTTCACCTCTTCACAGATGGGATGTTCCAAAATAATGCCAAAAAGACAGACTAAAGAGTAGGGCCCACAACAAAACCAGGAACTTATTATAGGTGGAACTCCACCTGCAAGATTTTCCAGCCAAAGATGGCATCAGCCAAGGTAGCTACATCAACCTTGAAAAACTTGGTTACTTGGTCATCAGTTCACCTGTTTACTGTCTTGCAAACCTGAACAATCAGAAGCAGAGTGATTAAAAGTCCATAACACGCTAAGCACCCTGGTAGCACAGTAACTGGAAACAGAACCTTGCGTCCTGGAAGAGTGTAGGCCTGGATTGCCATTTCACAAATCCATCTGGATAAGGTGGAAGACGAGGCAAACTGAACTTGTCTAGGACCCTCCGGAATGATGAACAAAGCATCAGACATCCGAACAGATGCTGTGGCAGAGAGATAGACTAACAGCCCTGACCATACCCTGGCAATGGAGAGATGATTCTCTTGGATGAGTGGGATGTGGACACAAGGAAGGTAAGACTATATCCTCATTAAGGTGAAAAGCCAACACGACCATAAGTAGAAAATACAGCCTAGGGCAAAGAACCACTTTGTCCTTATGCAACACCAAAAAGGGCAGCATAGGTGAAAGAGCTGGAAGTAAACATGCAAGCCATAAGCATAGTTAAAAACCAGCAGCAGGGGACAGACCCTTGTCCAGTTGTGAAAACTGCAGATTGTTACTTCCAAAAACTCTGCAGAATGTTGCTCTTGTGCCCCATAAGCTCCAGTGCAAACGTGAAGAACCAGCTTCTCTCATAAGTGAGTTATCACAGTGCCACTTCACATGCCCCATCATGTAACACACTCACCAGATACCACGACCCCTTAAATGAATAAGGTCTCATTGTGCTGAGTACTTCCAAAACACCATCTCCTCAGGCACCTCTGGTCCACTTTCCCAATTCTCCCCTTCTTTCAGGTCCAAACCGCCAACAAAAAGGCATAAAAAGGATCCATAGAACTTTTTATTAATTTACGTCATTGCAATATCTTGTGAGTGCAGCACATGGTGGGACATATGGAGTGGCACTTTGATAATTCTTATGTGAGAAGCTAGTTCTTCACCTTTTTCACGGTTTGCACTGGCGCTTATGGGACACTAGCAATATTCTGCAGTTTATGGAAGCAAAAATCAACAGTTTTCACAGCTAGATAATTTTTGTATAGAGACTGAGGATACTGTTTTATGTTATTTTAATAAAGTATAAAATGAACACAAACTGTACAGGTTTTAACACATTTATTAGTCAAATTAGAAAAAAGAAAGTTGGTTTTAATGCTCATAAACACTTCTGTCCGAAATGTGAGTGAGCCAGGGATCCACAAACAAAAGACAACGTTCCCCCATCTTGAGGTGTTGGCACACCCGCATGCGAAAGTGGACTCCTCAGCTGGTTTGGGGTTCTTGGATTGCCAAGAATTTTTGATGGCGGTGGAGGGCCTGGTGGCTTTGACCTTACAGTAGGAGCCCTGGTCATAAAAAAAAATTTTTTCAGCAGAAAAGGATAGTTCCGCATTGCAACGAGAGTCCTTAGGCTTCCAAGCGTGAGAAAAGAAAGTGCTCCTGTCCCCCTGTGATATTCTTGATTATGCCAGACGTGCTGAAAAGGTGGTCACCTGTGAATGGCATTTCTTTAAGCACCTTCTTAGTCTAGTTAGCCATCTAGTTAGTCTAGTTAAGCCAGAGGAGACTCCGTAAGACTACTGCAGAGGTGGTCATGTGAAAGACCATCTTACGGTTGCATTACACAAGTACTGGAGCCCCTGTACTAACTGATCCCCTAAGTCAACATAAGTTGGTGAGACCCACTCAGTAGCCAACCCTTGGTGTAGTAACTCGGCCCACTCGGTCAGGGTTGGGGAAAACTTTGCAGAGGCCAAGACTGAGATGGATCAGAACCCCAGAAGCTGCATAAAGTGAGCAAGCCGTGCTCTCCAACTTCTTGGCCAAGGGATCCTGAAAAGGGGCTTCCTCAGAAGAAATAATGGTAGCCTAGTTAAGGTGGGGAATGAGTGGGTCCATCACAGGAGAGTACCCCACTTGCTTTCTTAAAGGGCTAGCAGACAGGTAACTTCAAGAGAAGTAAAAATGGCTTGGCCGGGCATGCCCAGGGTTTGTAGATGAAATAATCAAAAAAAGATTAAACGGAAAAACTTTAGATGATCTCTTCTTCTTGTGAGTCCCATAAGGGACTTGAGTCTGTAGTCATGGTCTGGGAATCCTCCATCTTCAGGGTTTCTTGGGCCACCGTAATGAAATGAGATACCTATTCGTTCTCATGTGCCAACTTAGCAGCCAGCACTATCTGAGGAGGTGGGATGTGCTGCAGGAGACTATGAGGTTAGGGATAGAGTAGTTCTGCATCCAACTAGTTAGACGCCACATGTCATCACATGCCTGATAAAGGTGTCCTGTGAGACTCCGAAGCGTTGCCTTGCAGGAACTATATATATCTTAAACAGTGAAGCGCTAAATTAAATAAATAAATAAATACATATATTAGGTGCCGTCAGTGAATATAAGTGCTATAGTGTAATAATTCCTTGTAAATCACTGGAACATGCCAACCAATGGTGTATATAACTGGAAACAAAACTGAATACTTAATATATCAGTGAGAAATGCTAAATAGATATATAAATAAATATAAACACACCAGTGATGAATAATCTAATACCTCCGATAAAAACTTCTTCTCATTCACAGAAGAATATAAATAAATAAAAAGGTGCTCATTAAGTGAACAAATGATCACAAACTCAAAAAGTGAACAAGTGTATAAAAAACTTTTCTACGTGCATATACCAAAAATGTATATACATATAACATATATATAAATAAATAAAGTCCATGCAGGTGTAGCTTGTGAAAAAACGTGGTCTTCACTTCTAGTGCGCACACACACACAAATCCTCAAATGGCAGCAGTGCCTGCTCACCTCCCCGCACTGACCCTCAAGGGGCCAAAAGGCTACTTAATCTCCTATATGGCCAATCTTTCTCCTTCGGTAGCTCAGCAGGGGATCACAGGGTCTCCACTTCTCCTCCACTGATCATGTGTGCAGCACCACGGCAACAGCACATCAAACAGAGGTCAAGATGGCAGCTTCCTTGGCCTCCATAGATCCTCAGGAACACTCCTCCTGTGTCTGTGAATGGAATTTCCAGGATCCAAGATGGCTGACCGGCAACTTCCTGTTACTCAACACGTCTTGACGTCAAGTGACGTCAAGACGTGTTGAGTAACAGGAAGTTGCCGGTCAGCCATCTTGGATCCTGGAAATTCCATTCACAGACACAGGAGGAGTGTTCCTGAGGATCTATGGAGGCCAAGGAAGCTGCCATCTTGACCTCTGTTTGATGTGCTGTTGCCGTGGTGCTGCACATATGATCAGTGGAGGAGAAGTGGAGACCCTGTGATCCCCTGCTGAGCTACCGAAGGAGAAAGATTGGCCATAGAGGAGATTAAGTAGCCTTTTGGCCCCTTGAGGGTCAGTGCGGGGAGGTGAGCAGGCACTGCTGCCATTTGAGGATTTGTGTGTGTGTGCGCACTAGAAGTGAAGACCACGTTTTTTCACAAACTACACCTGCATGGACTTTATTTATTTATATATATGTTATATGTATATACATTTTTGGTATATGCACGTAGAAAAGTTTTTTTATACACTTGTTCACTTTTTGAGTTTGTGATCATTTGTTCACTTAATGAGCACCTTTTTATTTATTTATATTCTTCTGTGAATGAGAAGAAGTTTTTATCGGAGGTATTAGATTATTCATCACTGGTGTGTTTATATTTATTTATATATCTATTTAGCATTTCTCACTGATATATTAAGTATTCAGTTTTGTTTCCAGTTATATACACCATTGGTTGGCATGTTCCAGTGATTTACAAGGAATTATTACACTATAGCACTTATATTCACTGACGGCACCTAATATATGTATTTATTTATTTATTTAATTTAGCGCTTCACTGTTTAAGATATATATTATTGGTTACTGAATGGTTAAGTTTTAAGTGACAGCAGCTGTTTCAGATAGGGATTGTGCCTATATTGAGCGCAGGAGGATACTCTAATACTGTCTTGCAGGAACTATGAGATCATTCATTAAAAGTTTTGAACCCGTATTGGTGATCCTCGGTGTGCTGGTGACATTCTCCCTTGATAAAGCTGAATTCCAAAAAGCAAAAAGGGGAAGCTCTGCTTGTTTGCTCCCTCCACTGCCACATTTGGCACCTTTTCTCGGGGGGGGGGGCGACGGTACCTGGGTTTGAAGGCTACCCACTCCCACTTCTGGCTGAAATTGCTGCGACGAGCTGAGACAGAAATTTTGTCCCCCTCTTTCCCCAAGTCTTCTGGGGCACTTCACAGGTCTCAGAAGACTACAGGACCATTCATCAAGACTTCACTTCCAGTTCCCCTTACTTGCAATGCCGACACCGGGAACCCAGAGGCTAGTGAAGAACTAAGAACTAGCCTGAGTGAGGACGGTCCTGGACAGGTAAGTGTCCTTATAGTAATAGTCAGTCGCTACAGTATTTGTAGCTGCTGACTTGATATTTTGGTGAAAGCCTAGAGTTCCTCTTTAAGGTGGTGGCATCAAACCATCCGTGAAGAAGTGAAGCTGTGTCCTTCGATGAACAATGGCGAAAGTAAAGAAAAAATGTAACAATATAAAATTACTTTTAATCTATCTGAAATTGACAAAACACGGTACATTCTCTTCATCCTGGCTACACATCCACTGGATCACAAAATAAATTTGTATATTATTGGCAAATATTTGCTTAATCAATGCAGAATACTTTGATAACTAGCGATCATCTGTAAAATAACATGCTCATGAACAGATTGCTGTATAATGTTGGTGCCCAAGCATACCTTAGCTGACAATTCCCACCTCAAGACTATCACTACTTTCTCAAGCAGCTGTTCTAGTAGTGTCTTACAACCCCAAGAGATTTCTTATAGAGCACAGCTCAACTTATCCATTAGCTTTACCTCTCGTGATGCTTCTTTCAGAACAAATTTGTCTGGAGTAACAAAAACCACATTTGGATCCATAACGACATTGTTTTCTACATTAATAAAACAGACCGCTTTAACATAAGCAGCTCTGGAGCCTGTGTTCCTGACAGAGAAGCTAGCTTTGCTTATTCTACCAGGCAATACACCATTTATGGTCAACATGCAGCTGTCTGACAACTTTTTCACATCTTCAAGTATTACATTGCTTGTGCCACCATAGCCGGAGAGTGGAATCTAAAAAAAAAAAAAAAAAAAAAAAAAAAAGAATTATTCCAAGGCTACCGAGCCAGATTTAAGGTTTTTATAAACCCTAAACTTGAAAAACAATCCATTCAGTTTAAAAATAGAAATGAATGGCAAAACATTCGTGTACAGATATAAAAACATTTTTTGATCACATTCCTGAAAAGAGCGAGGGGAGCAGAAACAGCATCACACTGAACTTCCCAGTGAAAGGATGTGCATGGGGAGGGGTGGAATGTGTGGTCAGCAGAAGTCTGATCATTGGAGAAGAGTGGGCTGAGTTCCCAGCACAGCTAAAGAGCTCATCATGGTGTGTTCTCCTGCTTAAGTGTGGTAAATGTTTAAAGGGAGAGCAGAGGGGCTGGCAGGATACCAGTGATTTCACACAAAGAAGCAATACAAAGAGAAACGGATACTTTTTCATACAAGTACATGGTACAGCAGGCATATAATCAGGAATAAGATATGTTGGGTTTACATACGCTTAAATATACAGGGGTTGGGCAAAAATATGGAAACACTACATTATTTGCAGGTGTGAAAGTGGCAACATGTTTCACGTCGAAAGTGGAAGTGATGTAACATTCTTTTGCTTCCGCTGTGTGATGAGACACCTAGCCAACAGGTGGGAGACCTCACTTTAGTCATTCGCTGTGTGCGCTGCTAGTAATACGGACTCATGCCAAAGCTTACAGAGTTTCAAAGGTGGCAAATTGTTGGTGCCTGCTTAGCGTCCTCTATGACGGAAAACATGGTCTAATCAGCATAAGCGAGATCGACTTGATCAACTTGACTGAAAAAGACAAAGAAAAAAAATGGACAGGATTGTGACCTGAAATGAGAAAACTGCTGAAAAATGACCGCAGCGCTCAATCTCAGTCTTCCAAAGCCCGTGAAAAAACTGAGGCGGGAACTCCCTAAGCAAAACATTCAGGGGTGAGCTGCAATTGCCAAACCATTAGTGACTGATATTAACCAGTTCCCGACTGCTCTATAGCCGAAAGACGGCTACAGCGTGGTTGGCTACTTCTGGGAGGGCATCCTCCCAGAACCGCGCCCCCCCAGCGGCACGCACTGCGCACAATCTGTGATCGCTGATCACTGGGTAAATAGGAAATCAAAGTTATCGGCAGTATTCTCCTCACGCTGACAGCGCGTGAGGAGAGGAGGGATGGTAAGCGGAATTTCTCAGAGGGACATCTACACTGGTCATCAGGGCACTGATCATCAGTGTCCTGGTAATTAGTGTAGCTCCATCAGTGCAGCCAATAGTGTCCATCTGTGCTGACAATCAGTGCCTCCCAACACTGCCCATCAGTGTGCCTATCAATGCCCATCTGGGCCACCTAACAGAGCCCATCAGTGTCGCCCCATCAATGTAGCCTATCAGTGCCCATCAGTGACTTATCAATGCCGCCTAACAGTGCCCATCAGTGAAGGAGCAAAATTACTTATTTAGAAAACTTTATAATAGAAACTAAGAAAAAACCTTTTTTTCAAAATTTTTGGTCTATTTTTAGTTTTGTTTAGCAAAAAATAAAAACCCCAGTGGTGATCAAATACCACCAAAAGAAAGCTCTATTTGTCTCAAAAATTTTTATAAAAATGTAGTTTGGGTACCGTGTTGCATGACTGCACAATTAATAAAGAATGGTGCAGCGCTAAAAATGATAAAATGAATAATTTCATCTACTAAATGCATGTATATAAGTGCGTTTTGTCAATGACACACAATGAGACAGCAATAATATTCTAAAAATAAGCAAATATAATAAGAGTGCAAATATCTATAGGAAACGCATAATCGTGACATGCGTGGTGATTGAAAAAAATGTCCAAAATTTCTTAAAACTTATGTAATCTTCAAGTGACTTCTATAAAGTCCCAGAATACTTATTCCGCTTGGTTGAGTGTGTAAATCAACATACAGAGTGCGCACTCACCGGAAGCGCTAATAAAAAGCGCGTTGTATCATATACTCCTGGACATGACCTGGTCCCTCAGGTGTAGTCAGGTATGCAGCCGGGGGTTAGATGGTCTTCCCAATGGTGCAAGGATTTGATGGCTAGTGCCAATAATTCAACCTTTTCAGGATGCTGGGATATTCACTGAAGATGGTACTAAGGGATTTAAAGTGCTCGATGCAGAGCAAACATTAGGGATATCCCATAGTGTAGTATTTTAAAAGATGCTTTATTAATGGTACTTAAAATATGATAAGAAGAACATGCAGAACTGCAGTATGAAATGACAAATGCCACAACATTAATCGCATAAGATATATGCATGAACAACTGACCAGCTGGAACAATATAGTAATATTGACGTCAACGGCTTGCAAAGGGCTCCTCAACGCGTTTCGAACACAGCGTTCGTTGTCAAAAGGGGTATGCCTGTGTGCAGCCTGACGTCTTAGACCTGCTATTTATAGCCTCACATAATTTGAAAATGGCGCCAAAAACGCCAAAACACAATCGTGCGCCATCTTGCCGAAGTTCAATGCAAGTGCGCATGCGCAAACCCGCGAGTGCCATTTTCCCGTGGATCAATGTTACCATAATCTCTCACAAGACAGGTGTTATACTGCGCATGTGCGGGCGCCATTTTCCTGTAGTTAATAATGCAGGAGATAATGCCAAAAGCTACGTGGGGACATTCCTTTATATTTAGTAATATCAATGGCAAAAATGGAATTACAGGTGATTGTTCTGCCATAGAGGGCCCATATGTATGACATAAATGTTATAGACATTACAATTGTACCGTGGCAACAGGGCAATAGCGCACGCGCGTGCATCATTAGGAAGGGAATAAGTGGAGGAGAAATTCCGTCAAAAACATACTCGCACTGCGGGCGCCATTTTCCCTTCGTCTGAAATAAAGCAGTACTGACGGCTGTATATCATAGTTAAAAGTAGAGATGGACAGAGTTACAATATATAGGTTTGCGGTGCTTAGGCAATATAATGCTGATTGAATCAGCATTAAATATCCTATGTTAGATGCAGAAAATTCTGCATGACACACTTGTATAGTTAAAACAGGTTAAATTCTTTTTGTTTAATATACTTATATTTTCTGACATTATAAGGGTCGCATATAGACCATACAAACCATATGGTCTACATATTGAAAAGCCGTCTGAACTGCCAATTAACATAATAACAAAAAACAATATAGGATGGAAATATAATCTAAAACAAACACCATTGATAGGTGCATTTCCACGGTGAGAAAACACATGGTGGAAATGCATCCATAAATCAATATGACCGCGTTTCCTCAATAGAGTGTACATATGAATAAAATTAACAATATTAATAAAAAGTTATTGAAGAAATGTAAAGTATACCTAAAAAATGTGGTCCAATCACTAAAATCCAAACAGAATTGGTGCAAGATGGTCATATAGTCTAATGAAATCGAAAAAGTATATAGTATACACGGTGTGGGTGGGCTAAACCCTAACTATTATCAATGTAACAATTGAGATCAATATCTACATTGTGACCAACCGAGGTCAAAGTTCTCATCTTAAAGATCCACCTGGTCTCAGCCTATGAGACCAACCTAGTCTTGTTTGACCCCCACCAATGGTTGGTAATGGTTTCAATGCCCATGAGTTTAAGCGTCGAGGGGTCGCGGTTATGGTGATAACGAAAATGTTTAGACAGAGGGTGTTCCTTAAAGCCTTTTCTGATGTTATATACATGCTCTCTAAATCGATCCCTCAGGAGCCTGACAGTGCGTCCAATATACTGTCTCTTACATGGACATTCGAGAAGATAAACTGAATACTTGCTATTGCAAGATATGAAGGAAGTGATCTCATAGGTTTGTCCTGTACATGTGGATGCGAAAGTTTCTATCTTCTTGAGTTTCATTTTGCTTTGTTGACAGAGGACACATTTTTTGCAAGGGTAGAATCCCTTCATTTGTGAGAAAAAGGTGGAAGATAAAGGGGGATCTATACTATTGGGTGCTATCCTGTTCCGAAGGGTAGGAACTCTTCTGAAAACTATTTCAGGTCTATCCGGTAGTACTTTTGATAAAATGGGATCGGCCTTTAGAATGCCCCAATTTTTATTGATAATTTTGTTGACTGATTTATATTGGAGTGAAAAAGTGGTCACTAATGGACAAATTTTGCCCACTCTCTGGATTGTGGAATTGGATAACATAAGATCTCTGTTCATCTGATCGATTCAGAGAGCATGTATATAACATCAGAAAAGGCTTTAAGGACCACCCTCTGTCTAAACATTTGCATCATCACCATAACCGCGACCCCTCGACGCTTAAATTCATGGGCATTGAAACCATTACCAACCATTGGAGGGGGTCAAACAAGACTAGGTTGGTCTCACAGGCTGAGACCAGGTGGATCTTTAAGATGAGAACTTTGACCCCGGTTGGTCACAATGTAGATAATGATCTCAATTGTTACATTGATAATAGTTAGGGTTTAGCCCACCCACACCGTGTATACTATATACTTTTTCGATTTCATTAGACTATATGACCATCTTGCACCAATTCTGTTTGGATTTTAGTGATTGGACCACATTTTTTTTTTTGGTATACTTTACATTTCTTCAATAACTTTTTATTAATATTGTTAATTTTATTCATATGTACACTCTATTGAGGAAACGCGGTCATATTCATTTATGGATGCATTTCCACCATGTGTTTTCTCACCATGGATTATATTTCCATCACATATTGTTTTTTGTTGTTATGTTAATTGGCAGTTCAGACGGCTTTTCAATATGTAGACTATATGGTTTGTATGGTCTATATGCGACCCTTATAATTTCAGAAAATATAAGTATATTAAACAAAAAGAATTTAACCTGTTTTAAACTATACAAGTGTGACATGCAGAATTTTCTGCATCTAACATAGGATATTTAATGCTGATTCAATCAGCATTATATTGCCTAAGCACCGCAAACCTATATATTGTAATTCTGTCCATCTCTACTTTTAACTATGATATACTGCTTTATTTCAGATGTAGGGAAAATGGCGCCCGCAGTGCGAGTGTGTTTTGACGGAATTTCTCCTCCACTTATTCCCTTCCTAATGATGCACGCGCGTGCGCTATTGCCATGGTACATATTAAAATGTCAATAACATTTATGTCATACATATGGGCCCTGTATGGCAGAACAATCACCTGTAATTCCGTTTTTGCCATTGATATTACTAAATGTAAAGGAATGTTCCCACATAGCTTTTGGCATTATCTCCTGCATTAGTAACTACAGGAAAATGGAGCCCGCACATGCGCAGTATAACACCTGTCTTGTGAGAGATTATGGTAACATTGATCCACGGGAAAATGGCGCCTGCGGGTTCGCGCATGCGCACTGAAATTTGGCAAGATGGCGCACGATCGTGTTCTTTGGCGTTTTTGGCCATTTTCAAATTATGTGAGGCTATAAATAGCAGGTCTAAGACGTCAGGCTGCACACAGGCATACCCCTTTTGACAACGAACGCTGTGTTCGAAACGCGTTGAGGAGCCCTTTGCAAGCCGTTGACGTTAAGCCGTCGGATCACGGGGATCCGACGGCCACTATATTGTTCCAGCTGGTCAGTTGTTCATGCATATATCTTATGCGATTAATATTGTGGCATTTGTCATTTCATACAGCAGTTCTGCATGTTCTTCTTATCATATTTTAAGTACCATTAATAAAGCATCTTTTAAAATACTACACTATGAGATATCCCTAATGTTTGCTCTGCATCGAGCACTTTAAATCCCTTAGTACCATCTTCAGTGAATATCCCAGCATCCTGAAAAGGTTGAATTATTGGCACTAACCATCGACTCCTAGCACCATTGGGAAGACCAGCTAACCCCCGGCTGCATACCTGGAGGGACCAGGACATGTCCAGGAGTATATGATACAACACGCTTTTTATTAACGCTTCCGGTGATTGCGCACTCTGTATGTTGATTAACACACTCACCCAAGCAGAATAAGTATTCAGGGACTTTATAGAAGTCACTTGAAGATTACATCAGTTTTAAGAAATTTTGGACATTTTTTTCAATCACCACGCATGTCACGATTATGCGTTTCCTATAGATATTTGAACTCTTATTTTATTATATTTGCTTATTTTTAGAATATTATTGCTGTCTCATTGTGTGTCATTGACAAAACGCACTTATCATATACATGCGTTTAGTAGATGAAATTATTCATTTTATCATTTTTAGCGCTGCACCATTCTTTATTGATTCATTTGAAGGCTTTTTGGTTTACCTTTTAGTGTGTTCAGCTGCTTATCACTGATTTTAATATTAGCGCTCGCTTCATCACCCTATTATGACTGCACAATTGTCATTCAAAAATATGAGAGCGCTGAAAGCTGAAAATTGGTCTGGGCAGGAAGGGGGTAAAAGTGCTCGGTAGGCAAGTGGTTAATGCTCAGAGGAGGAGAGAGTGGTGCAACACCCATAAATGATGGATTATCGATCAGTGGAAGACTGTACTATGGCCCGATGAATAGAGCTTTACATTGTTCCCAATCACTGGAAGTGTTTGCGTGTGACAAACAACATCCTAAGCTTATGACCAGGACTGTCCTGTGCCAAAGCATGGTGGCAGCACAATCATGGTTTGGGCAGCCATATCTTGGTATTCTGCAGGCCCCATCATAACTTTGAAAGGTAGAGTCACTGCCAGCGACTATGTAAAAAGTTTGGCCAACTATGTGCAGCTGACGGACCTCAATGACAGAGCCATTATGGTCGATTTTGGAGAACAAGATTTGGCTTGTTTTTCGCCTCTAGCATCTCTGCGAGAACTGGAAAGATTTTTGCATGAAGAATGGTATCATATTCAATTATCCACCATTCAAGACTTTATTTGTAAATTTTCAGAATTCAAGACATCCTGGATGCCAAAAGGTAGTTGAACACCATATTAGGTATAATTAGGTAAGGATTTCATTCTTTTTCCTGGTGTTTCCATAATTTTGTCCAACACCTGTACATGCCAGTCTACAGATGGTATAAAAATGACTTGCTTAAGGTTTTTCATTAACTCCTTGGCACTGAGCGCACGCAATTGTGTCCTCTCAGCATCTGGGCCCTGGCGCTGAGGGGCCGCATATTTGCGCACCCAATGTAAACAGAAGATGTGTCGAGAATGTGCGCCCTGCGAGCTCTTGGCACACTTACTGGTGCCTCACAGAAAGGTCCTGCTTTCCGATAATGGGACCGCCATGACATAACCCTAAACCCCGCCCCCTGGCATCACAAACCCCTTAAAGGGCCGGGAGGTGTCGGCATCAAGGGATTAAGGAGTTTTAGCAATACAAAAAGCCACCCTCTTGCTAAAAAGAATATAGTGCTGGTCACCTCTTTTTAGCACATAATTTCCCAAGCCATGTGAACATGCTGGTGTGTACCTCAAGATCCACTTACTCAAATTTTTAGTTTTCTGGTACACTTGAAGTTCATCAGCATGTTAAATACTTAACCAGCCCCCTTACATACTTTAAATTAAATGTATACCCCTTCTGCAGTTAGCATTTAAGGTGGCCAAACAAAGTTATGCCTACTGCCATGCCTACAGAAAAGCAGATGATCACATTTGAACACATAGCTGCAGTCTCACTGGATTACAGGAACCTGAAATGTATTTCAATGGGCCTGCCTGAAGTTAGATCAAGGATGTTCATAAAATGTTACTAAACCCACAACTGTAAAATCAGTCTGCATACGCAGTACAGCATGCTTGTTATACTCACTGTGGAACCTAAGGGGTTAATCATCTGCATTGTGTAAAAAGGCTATTTGATCCTGTTTTTTCTAGTCGCCTTCTTCTTCTGATCATCTTCTGATGGTACAGAGCTCTAAGAGTCACACTGCCCATGCTCAATTAAATGTGTAAGGCTAGAAAGTAGTTTTTTTTCTTTGGAAGAGTGATTGTGATCAGCAAAGGGCCAATCAGCACTGTCCAGACAGACTGCCAGGGGTTATGCAGCCTCATAGGACAGTCAAAGCGGAATGAAAACTCCTCTTACAATCTTTAACCAGTGCTCAGCTGGACACTGATAGAAGTCACAAGATTGCTATATACTGCTGTTGAGAAAAGATATTTAGTCGTTTATATTTACTAAAATAATTGCATTTTCATGGTCTGGGTACTGTGGGAAACCAGATATAGTGAATGCAGGATTCTGGGTTTAGTAACACTTTAAGACATATTTACATCCCATGAAGTAATATTACATTGAATATCACACTAAAAGAGAATACATTTCAACTGAAGTTTAAAATGCCAAAACATCGCTAACTTATAAAGTTAACGTCATCTCAATTGAAAGGGGACATAAATTGAAAACCGCTGGGTTATAAAGTAGGTCCTTCTATTTCCTAGATAGCCACTAAACAAAACGGTCAAACCCCCTTCTTGATAAAATCTGAGACAGCTCATATCTTGTACCACATTTATTTGATGTACTGCTAGAATTTAGATTATACTGCAGAGTATCTCTTTTTTGTGCACCAATGCTTCCTAACAGATCACTTTGAAGAGGTTTTCATGTTTGATAAACAAGGCTCTTTGGCAAGAATAGGATCCAGAACACAGACTTGGAAAGTGTGATTAAGGGGTGACATTTGAAAAGCCTGGAATGCATACTTCAGCTCCAAAAAATTGTTTTTTCTTCTCCTTTCTCTCTTTTGAAGCATTACCTGCTCTGATAGACCTACCACGCACTTAGTACAAAAGAATAACTGTAGAGATGCTCTGTAAAGATCTCATGCATTATATCAGAATAATCTAATATGTATAAGTACATGCATGGTGCTAGATCCAGGTTCAAGGTAATGAATAACAATTTCTTATTCAAATGCCTAGACCTACATTCATCAGAGACCATGAAAACAGCAGGCTTAAGTGAGATCTTTGCAAAGTCAATGCTGACCGAGAGTATTGGTCCAATATGGACCCCATGTAAGTACACCATATACTTTTACCTGGAACCCCTTTTACCACAGACTTACAGTAAATTTAATTCCTGGTTGTGAAGATTTAGCTCCTGCTTGTTTAATCTCCAGTTTAGCCAACATGCAGCCTACACGCGTTGGAGAAAACATCAAAAATGGACAGCTGAATCTTCTTTAGGACGGAGTGTGAGTTCACGATTGCTTGTCAAACGCTCTTCTGAACCGAACTTACTTTGCAACTACAGGGGAGAAAAAAAATAATCATGAAGTTCATTATCAAGGCTAGTTTACACTTTACTAGGTTAATTTTACATGTCAAAGTAATCTGTGTGAAAAAATATTGCTGTGCCGAAGTGGTGCTTATCTCCATCATACTTTTCCTTTAGTTGGCATTTCTTACTTTAGAGACAAAAAAAAAAAAAATCTGAACAAAGTTACATTGTATAATTTTTCAGTATATTGCTAGTATACAGTAACTTCCTAAAAACAAATTGTATACTGCCACGACAAGCCAAAAACGTAACAAAAATCAAAAGGCTCCTACACGTTGCACTTTGCAAATTGAAATAAATAAGGCATGCACAAATTTAGTGTGCAGCACTACAGTGCCTTGAAAAAGTAATCATACCCCTTGAAATTTCCCACATTTTGTCATGTTACAACCAAAAACGTAAATATATTTTATTGGGATTTTATGGAAGAGACCAACACAAAGTAGCACATAATTGTCAAGTGGAATGAAAATGATAAATGTTTTTAAAAAATGTGTTTACAAATAAATATCTGAAAAGTGTGGTGTGCACTTGTATTCAGCCCCCCTTTGCTCGGATACCCCTAACTAAAATCTAGTGGAACCAATTGCCTTCAGAAGTCACCTAATTAGTAAATAGTGTACACCTGTGTGTAATTTAATCTCAGTATAAATACAGCTGTTCTGTGAAGCCCTCACATTTGTTGGAGAGAATATTAGTGAACAAACAGCTTCACAAAGGCCAAGGAACACACCAGACAGGTCAGGGATAAAGTTGTGGAGAAGTTTAAAGCAGGGTTAGGTCATAAAAAAATCCCAAGCTTTGAACATCTCATGAAGCACTGTTCAATCCATCATCCAAAAATGGAAAGAGTATGGCACAAATGCAAAACTACCAAGACATGGCCGTCCACCTAAACTGAGAGGCTGAGCAAGGAGAGCAGTAATCAGAGCAGCCAAGAGGCCCATGGTAACTCTGGAGGAGCTGCAGAGATCCACAGCTCAGGTGAGAGAATCTGTCCACAGGACAACTATTAGTCATGCACTCCACAAATCTGGTCTTTATGGAAGAGTGGCAAGAAGAAAGCCATTGTTAAAAGAAAGCCATGAGAAGTCATGTTTGCAGTTTACAAGAAACCATGTGGGGGACACAAACGTGCACAAAGGTGTTCTGGTCAGATGAGGCCAAAATTGCATTTCTTGGCCTAAAAGCAAAACGCTGTGGGGCAGAAAAATAACACTACACATCACCCTGAACACACCCATCCCCACCGTGAAACACTGTGGGGATGCTTTTCTTCAGCAGGGACAGGGAAGCTAGTGAGAGTTGATGGTAAGATGGATGGAGCCAAATACAGGGCAATCTTAGAAGAAAAGCTGTTAGAGTCTACAAAAGACTTAAGATTGGGGCGGAGGTACACCTTCCAGCAGGACAACAACCCTAAACATACAGCCAGAGCTAAAATGGAATGGTTTCGATCAAAGCATATTCATGTGTTAGAATGGCCCAGTCAAAGTCCAGACCTAAATCCAATTGAGAATCTGTGGTAATACTTGAAAATTGCTGTTCACAGCTGCTCGCCATCTAATCTGACAGAGCTTGCACTATTTTGCAAGGAAGATTGGGCAAAAATGTCACTCTCTAGATGTGTAAAGCTGGTAGAGACATACCCAATACCCGAATACAAATGCACGCCACACTTTCCAGATATTTATTTGTAAAACAATTTAGAAAACCATTTTCCTTCTACCTCACAATTATGTGCCACTTTTTGTTGGTCTGGCACATAAAATCCCAATAAAATACATTTAAGTTTTTTGTTGTAACATGACAAAATGTGGAAAATTTTCAGGGGTGTGAATACATTTTCAAGACACTGTATATGGCTAAAGTGTGTTTATTTAGTAGAAATGTCAAATATGTATGTTGATAAACCATTAATTAATACATCTATGGGATACTTTAACATGAATGCTGAGAATAAAGAGGTTGATCTGAAATACAACATGAAAACCAACAGTCTCAAAATGACAGCTTTCCACTCACAACCATTTCTATGTTGGTAGTGGATTGTCCCAAAAATTAAAAGAGAAATATAGAAATATGAAAGTTTAAGTGTTGGCCTCATTATGAAAAAGCTGCATGCCTTGCTGTCTCTGGTATTAATGTTTCCTAGTCACTACCTGGGAATAGGCATATAAAAAGTCTAAATATCTAATCTGCATACATGTTAGAACAATGTACAGCCACACAAGATTCTTTGTTCAGCCGATGTATGCAGTCACTATTAAACATGGACTAAAACCTTATTAGGCCCAAATAGCAGTGCAGTGTGGTATCATCTACATTGCAACAAAAGTTCTGAAAAACATTACAATGTATCCCTTATTTGCAATTCATGTGCTAGTCTGATGTTTACAAATCATGCATGGTGACTGTTGCTTCCAGGCATACTGTGTGACAAAGGTGTCCTTTTATCATGCAGCGGTAAATGACCGCTGCTTAGTTCTCCGGTATTCTCAGAGGAGAGAGTTCTCTGAATGTCTTTTTATGAAGTGGTGTAGATCACTTCTCCGAATGAAGGGAGAAGCGATCTACAAATGCTTTGAACGCTGGCAAACGGCTGCTTTTACTATAATCTCGCGAGATCAGTCAAACACAGTTTACTAAGCAGGGGTAAATTATCGCTGCTTCGTTTGCAGTTCCTCCGATTCTCCAGCTCTGGGCTGGAGAGTCTGGATGGAGAACACAGATTGCCAGTGAAGGGCTAACATCGATCCTTCATATTCTGGCCATCTGTGTGCTAAGATGATCAGTGGAGAACATGTTCTTTGCTGATCATCTGTTTCCTAAACCACTAATGAACGGAGATCAGCAACAATCCTCAGGATAGCTGCTGATCTGTTTTATAAAAGGACACCAAAATACATTAAAGTGGAATTCTATTTAAAAATGAAAAACTACCCTTTATAATAATATGTAAAACCTATAAATTATGCATTATTGTAACTGCTGAATATTTGGTTAGAAACAGTCTAATCCAGCCATTCAATTCTCCTGTGCTTCAACAACAGTATGCTTGTTCAGCCGAATATGGCAGCTCACAGGCACTTTTCTGGTACCATTGTCTGCGCGAGTTAACACAGCACAGCCCTACCCATCCCACCTATAATGTCATATGTTTTCTCATGAGCGAGGACACACAGGCATCCTTATTCGCTAGAGCACTCGCACAGGAAGGACAAAAGAGGAAGAAGACACACCCACCAGCTATCCTAACTGTATAGCAGTCACGTGACTGCAATGCATTATAATAATAATAATAAAAAAAAAAAAAAAGGTACAATCACAGATTTAAAAGAAAATGTACACAACAATGGACTTATTTTGTTAAACTGATTGTAGGGAGTTGATTGAGCCTAAGCCTTTCCTTCCACCATCAATATATGCAGGTCACTTGCAGCCAATAATAATAAAAAAAGAGAAAAAACACCTGAAAGCAGTCTTGGTCCTGACCCCTTATTATAAGACGAAGCTGCTGGCCTGCAGCTGCTGACATGTTCCTTAGAATCAATTTTTGCTGTCTGTAAAGAAAAACAGAACATATCAATCACAGATGTCTTGATGAAAAAAAAAATGTAATCCATTAATTTAAAGAAAGCCTACATTTACAATAAAGATTTAGTTATGTTGCATGTTAGTGTGTTGAGGCATCCTATTGAAAATCATGGGCTGAAGAATCACAACATTTCTAATAGAACACAGTATGGTGCATTGAAGTTGAGCAGTGATGTATGTGCATTGCCTTTATTCATTGGGGTGCTACTCAAAATTAATGGCAATGAAATACATGTAATGTACAGTAAAGAGATAAATGTGCCCCTTAGGATGCCATTGCAATCTCTCATTGAAAACTGACTGTTATACTTATCTCCTACATAATTATTTTTTCAGTCACTGACCTGGAACTTGTAAGCATCCAGTGAAGTACAAATTCCTCAGATGCTTGCAGGTTTTGGGCCAGTGATTCAGAAGGTACTGAAGTCACTGTTTAAAAAAAAAATACATAGACTGCAATTGCTAGCATCTGTTAAGAATGTCTTGTTGTCTTGTTGTTAACAGAAAAGTAATCTTAATGCTATTTAGATAGACTTACACTGCTCTTCCAACACCAACTCCTCCCCATGCTATGAATTGTTTGTTTGAAAGAATTGATGGAACATCTGAGTAACTAATGGCAGAAGAATTTGTGTTTCCTGAAGGCTCAATGTCTCCAACCAACATCACTTCATACTGTGGACCTGCTGGCTGGACCATGATTTTCAAGATACTGTGGGTAAAAGGAAAAAAAGACAATAAGATGCATATAATGCTATAAAGAAACTAAATTGACTTGACTTAATTAACATACCTTTGTTTTGTATTTGAATTACGTGGAAAGTATTTAATTGCAACTATTTGTTCTTCCCCTGGTGCAAGAAACAAATCTTCAGGGTCTACAGAAAAACCATCTTCATTTGAACACTTTGTGGAAGAATGACATTACAATAAATATCATTTTTATTAAACAGACTACACATATAAAAAGGACATGCATGGGAATGCTTACCATAATTTTTAAATGAGCAGCAATGTTTCCTGCATTTTTTAATGGCAGCAGTTGTTTGGCAGATGATCCATAGACACAGGTTAAACGGACAGTCTTTGGTGAGAAAGAAAAAAATCGTGAATTACAATTTTATTTCTACAAATTACCAGAGCACTACTTCTCCACCTTGTGGAGCTGAAATGGGGGAGTTTGGGCACAAATCTGTACAATGGACAGTGAAGGGAACAAAAATGACAGCTGCTACCCCCAAGCCTAGAGTTACCATCTTTGGTCCAAAAAAGAGCAAAGATGATGGAGGTGTTAGAACGTTGTTAAACCAGTGTAATTTAGTCATTCTAAACGCATCAAAAGTGCAAAATTTGTGTGTGATTCATTCCTTTTGTGAAGGCATAGAATAATGTTTCTGGCACAAAGCTTTTTTATGCAGCCCTAAAAAAATACCACTATAAATATTAAATGTCAACATACAAACGGTTTTAAAAAATTCTAAGAAAATAAAATGGGGTTACAAAAAAGTTAATAAAATGCTTTTTGAATGAAGGCTATATCAAGCTTATGAATGAAGGCTATATCAAGTATCCTTTATTTATACATGAAGAGTAGGACTGACTGTTTTGCTGATGTTTTGTATACTATGGTAGTGCTCTCCAGGTAAAATCAGCAGAGCCCTTAACGTGGGGAGGGGGTTCCCCTCCAGGGCACCTTGTCCGCATGTTGATGGGGTCAAGGGCCTCTCCCTCACAACTCTGAGCAGTGGTTGTGTGGGCTTAATGTAATTTGGAAAAAATCCAAAATAAATTAAAAAACACAGACACTTTTGACCTTTAGAATAAAAAAAACAATGCCCCTCAAAGTAAATCCAGCATCAGTCATGGTGATTGGGTAAACACAGCCAAAACCCCCCCCCCCCCCCCCCCCAAAAAAAAAAAAAAAAGTCTCCATCCCATGCTGGCATGCCCCGGTCGATGGCATCACCCCTTAGTTTATTTTACTTAGCAGAGGAGTTGACAGATGCTGGGAGCTGGCGTCTGGTGCAAACTTTTTTTCTGGGTCAGCTGCGGCGGGGGAGAAATTCAGGGGACATCGTGTATGTTTTTGTTTTTTGTTGTTTTTTTAAATAAAAGGACTTGTCAAAAACGGTCTCTGTGGTTTTATTTTTGCCACTTTTTGGCGAACGAGTAGGGGTACAATGTACCCTATACTTATTCACATGGGGGGGTGGGATCTGGGGGGGAAGGGCACCCTTGTTAAAGGGGGCTTCCAGATTCAAATAAGCCAGCTCAATCAAGGTGCTTTGGTGGGTTAAGCGTCATCTTTTGCTGCCTCATTTATTGAGGAGTGGCGTGAAACCACTTTATGGTGCACGCAGCAACCTTATGTTTATTACTGATTCATTTGCAACTCTATGTTTATATGTTTGATGATTTTTGTGGTGTAAGGGGTAATCACGTAGTGGCTGCTCAAACTGGTAATTAAGTTTGGTTCATCCAGCAGTACAGTTTCAGAGTTGTTTGTTTTAAACATACCTGCAAGTCCTTAGGGGCATGTATCCTCGCACAGCCAACTCTTGCTCTTAACTGGATACTTTTTAGCATGCATGCAGGGCCTGGGCTGTCAATTTCAATATCAACCCTTGCTGCAAACTCTTCTGGTGGACCAAGGGAACCTATCAAAATGAATACATAGAAAAAAATGGGAAATTTATATATATATATATATATATTTATTACACACACACACCTATATATATATAAAATTATGCATATCTCGATCTCTAATGTGAATGTATAGAGGAAAAGAAAATGTTAATAAGCATTTATATTTAATATTTATGTACTTACAGTTGCAAGAAAAAGTATGTGAACCCCTTGGGATTACGTGGAGTTTTGCATGAATTGGGCATAAAATGTGCTCTGAACGTCATCTAAGTCACAATAGAAGAACACAGTCTGCTGAACATAGTACTACACAAACATTAGATGTTGCCATGGTTTAATTGCACATAACATGTAAACATTCACAATGCAGGGAGGAAAAAGTATGTGAGGCCCTAGCTTAATGACTTCTCCCAGAGCTAATTGGAGCCAGGAGTGAGCCAACCTTGACTCCAATCAGTGTGATGATATTGGATGTGTTGCTGACAGCTGTCCTGCCCTTAAAAAAAACACACCTGTTTTGGGTTTACTGGTTTCAAGAAGCACTGTCTGATGTGAACCATGCCTCGCAGAAAAGAGCTCTCAGAAGACCTACGATCAAGAATTGTTGACTTGCATGAAGCTGGAAAGGGTTACAAAATATCTCCAAAAGCCTTGATGTTCATGTGTCCACGGTAAGACAGACTGTCTACAAATGGAGAAAGTTTAGCTACTCTCCCTAGGCGTGGTCGTCCTGTAAAAATGACTGCAAGAGCACAGCGCAGAATGCTGCATGAGGTAAAGAAGAATCCCAGAGTGTCAGCTAAAGACCTACAGAAATCTCTGGCACATGCTAACATTTTTGTTGACACATCTACAATAAGGAAAACATTAAACAAGAATGGAGTACATGGGAGGACACCACGGAGGAAGCCATTGCTGTCCAAAAAGAATATTGCAGCACGTTTGAAGTTTGCAAAAGAGCACCTGGATGTTCCACAGCACTACTGGCAAAATATACTGTGGACAGATGAAACCAAGATTGAGTTGTTTGGGAAGAACACACAACACTATGTGTGGAGAAAAAAAGGCACAGCACACCAACATCAAAACCTCATCCCCACTGTAAAACATGGCGGAGGGAGCATCATGGTTTGGGCTGCTTTGCTGCCTCAGGGCCTGGACGGATTGTTGTCATTGATGGGAAAATGAATTCCAGAGTTTATCAAGACATTTTGCAGGAAAACGTATGACCATCTGTCCGCCAACTGAAGCTCCGCAGAGGATGGGTGATGCAACAGGACAATGACCCAAAGCATACAAGTAATTCAACAAAACAATGGCTGCAACAGCACAGAATACGCCTTCTGGAGTGGTCCAGTCAGAGTCCTGACCTCAACCCGATTGAAATGCTGTGGCATGACCTTAAGAGAGCGATTAACACCAGACATCCCAAGAATATTGCTACACTGAAACCAGTTTTGTGAAGAGGAGTGGTCCAAAATTACTCCAGATCGTTGTGCAGGTCTGATCTGCAACTACAGGAAACATTTGGTTGAGGTTATTGCTGCCAAAAGAGGGTCAACCAGTTATTAAGTCCAAAGGTTCACATACTTTTTCCTCCCTGCACTGTCAATGTTTACATGTTATGTGCAATTAAACCATGGCAACATCTAATGTTTGTGTAGTATTATGTTCAGCAGACTGTGTTCTTCTATTGTTGTGACTTAGATGACGTTCAGAGCACATTTTATGCCCAATTCATACAAAACTCCATGTAATCCCAAGGGGTTCACATACTTTTTCTTGCAACTGTATATTTACCTTTTTGCCACTACGGATGTCCCGGTTCGTTCTTGGATGGCGATTCCACTGGCTGACCATAGAGATTATACTTGCGTGCAAAGGTAAATGCATACGTAGCATGTGCATGCATATGGTAATGGTGTTTGTACCACACATGTGACATATTGCCGCAAATGGTACAGAAAGTGCAATAATTCTAGCACTAGTCCTCCTGTGTAACTGTAAACTGGTAACTGGTTTTAAACTTTTAACCACTTCAAGTCCGGACACTTTCACATCCTTCCTGTGCAGGCCAATTTTCAGCTTTTCAGTGCTATCACAAATTGAAGGACAATTGTGCGGTCATGCAACACTGTACCCATATGAATTTAGCATTTTTTTGAGACAGATAAAACTTTATTTTGGTGGTATTTATTCACCACTGGGATTTTTGTGTTTTTTGCTATGTAAATGAAAAAGTCCAAAAATTTTGAAAAAAAGGGTTTTTCTTATAAAATGTTGCAAATAAATAATATTTCATCATAAATCTTGGCCAAAGTGTATTCCATTATCTTTTTAGTAAAAAAAAAAAAAATAACCCAAATTCGTTTGCATTGATTGGTTTGTGTGTCTACAACTGACTGTATATAAGATTGGAATTGTCATTTATTTTTCTTTATATTAGTAATGGTTGCGATCAGCGACTTCAATATTGCGGCGGACAATCAGACAATGACACTTTGTGGGAACCAGTAACACGAACACAGTGATCAGTGCTAAAAAATATCCACTGACACTGTACTAATGACACTGGTTAGGAAGGGGTTATACATCTAGGGCAATCTAAGTGTTAACTGTGCGCTGTTATGTAAACTGTGTGCTGCTTTCACTAAGGGAAGTGAAGGATCTTATTCCCTGCTTTGCAGGCACACATGATCCATCACTTATCCCCCTGTCAGAACGGAGCTCTGCCTTGTTTTCATAAGCAGGGTTCAGTTCTGTGTCTCTCCCTGATGATCGACGGGTGCCAGCGGACATCCACTGCCCGCCCACATGCATGTCCCCTAGGCAGAAGTGCAGAATCATATTTATACACATTATTATGTACAGGAGGGTTGCCCTGTAGCAGTTTATTTGCTGTGAGGGTGGTACTAAAGTGGTTAAAAATATGTGTTTGGGGGTTCTAAGCAATTTTGTAGCAAAGAAGGATTTTCATATGTAGGAGAGAAGTGTCAGAACTGGCCCAATAGGCAAGTGGTTAAAAATATACACACTGTATATATACAGTCAGGTCCATGAATATTGGGACATCGACACAATTCTAACATTTTTGGCTCTATACACCACCACAATGGATTTGAAATGAAACGAACAAGATGTGCTTTAACTGCAGACTGGCAGCTTTAATTTGAGGGTATTTACATCCAAATCAGGTTAACGGTGTAGGAATTACAACAGTTTGCATATGTGCCTCCCACTTGTTAAGGGAGCAAAAGTAATGGGACAATTGGCTTCTCAGCTGTTCCATGGCCAGGTGTGTGTTATTCCCTCATTATCCTAATTACAATGAGCAGATAAAAGGTCCACAGTTCATTTCAAGTGTGCTTTTTGCATTTGGAATCTGTTGCTGTCAACTTTCAAGATGAGATCCAAAGAGCTGTCACTATCAGTGAAGCAAGCCATCATTAGGCTGAAAAAACAAAACAAACCCATCAGAGAGAGAGCAAAAACAGGCGTGGCCAAAACAACTGTTTGGAATATTCTTAAAAAGAAGAAACACACCGGTGAGCTCAGCAACACCAAAAGACCCGGAAGACCACGTAAAAACAACTGGGGTGGATTACCAACTAATTATTTCCCTGGTGAAGAAAACACTCTTCACAACAGTTGGCCAGATCAAGACCACTCTCCAGGAGGTAGGTGTATGTGTGTCAAAGTCAACAATCAAGAGAAGACTTCACCAGAGTGAATACAGAGGGTTCACCACAAGATGTAAACCATTGGTGAGCCTCAAAAACATGAGGCTCACCAATGGTATGCGTTCCAGACTTCAGGCTGTAATTGACTGCAAAGGATTTGCAACCAAGTATTAAAAAGTGAAAGTTTGATTTATGATGATTATTCTGTCCCATTACTTTTGGTCCCTTAACAAGTGGGAGGCACATATGCAAACTGTTGTAATTCCTACACCGTTCACCTGATTTGGATGTAAATACCCTCAAATTAAAAGCCGACAGTCTGCAGTTAAAGCACATCTTGTTTGTTTCATTTCAAATCCATTGTGGTGGTGTATAGAGCCAAAAATGTTAGAATTGTGTCGATGTCCCAATATTTATGGACCTGACTGTACACATACACACCTACCATCTGTATATCTATATGGAAATATAGAGATCTAGATATACACACACACTTCATGCAGATATTTTCTTTTCAACAACCCAACCCATCACACAAACACATGCTTCACAACACCACTGTTACATGGAAACATGAATGAGAACAATCAAGTATGAGGTACAGAAGGATGAGCGCAACACTGCTATAAACTCTGAAAATTACCATTATAAACTCCCAAAGACTTTGAGACACCACAATCTAGGAACATTTTTTTAAATACCGGACGGAGGACATACCTGCAGAGTTGTAAGTCTGTGGCGCATGAAACACCACCCACACTGCAAAACATTCATGCTCCTAAAATAAGAACAAATGTAAAATTTCATTATGAGGAGATTATTCATTTGAGAATAGAGCTTGTAGGAATATGATTGAAGGACAAAACCAACTAAACAACTTCAATGTTAGGTAAAGAATTAACTCACCAAGAAGGTGATGTGGTGTTAACAATTCCACATTTAAGCCAGTAAATGCCTGCCATGACAGTTATGATCTCAATGAATTTTAAATTAATAATACAACAGAAGTAGCGCAGAGCTTAAAAAGGTATGCGTGAAAGGTGAACACACACAAAAGGTGGATGGGAACAAAGTCAGAGATCTCACAACGGTTGTCCTCAAAAAAGCCATTAAACATTACAGACAACCATGCAGAGAACTAACCACCACCACTAGTTCACATCGTCATTTTATTTAGGTTACAAATGTGCCTGTCATTTTCATAATGCATTTCACTGTATTCGGCTTTATTATTCACACATTTCTAACCTGGAAGCAGGAAATGGTAACTATTTTAACATATTTAATATTTATCGTTGAGATGTTAAATAAAATGGTTATATATTCACGGTAAAATCTTTTTCTTTGAGTTCATGGAGGGACACAGGATTCGGAGATATTTGGGTTATACTACAGCTTACAGGGCGATTTGGACACTGGCAAAACAGAATTAGTAGACACCTGGACTGAAAAGTTTCTAACTGGAGAACATGAAGACTTATTTCATTTTCAAGGTATGAACTGTTTGTGCCGCATTGCTCTTCAATACGATTAGATGAATCAAAGCAGCAGACTGAAGTGAGTGTAAAGGGCCTTGAGCAGTTCAAAGAACGTGAAGAATATAAAATGAAGATTGATAAAGTGCAAAGAAATTTGAGGATAACAAAAACATCTAAGTTTAAAAGTGATTGGGGAAGAAACTTTTGACTTGTCCAACTCAAGGGGAAGGAGCCGTTCCAGTAAACAGAGATTTAGATTTGTCTCCCAGTCTGGTTTTGAGAGGAATTCTAGGGACACAGATCTAGAAACTTCACAGAGATCAGTGTTTTTTATTTATTTATTTTTAAGACAAGGGGTGCCAAGACAGCCATGAAAAGGAAGTGCAGGGCAAAACTTTAAAAACAAAAATCGGCTTTGAGAAAGGAGCAGAGAGAAAAGGGAAGGGGAGAAAAGTAGGGAGTACACAGAAGACAGAGGACCAGAAGAAAAAATGAGTAATAATTTTAAATTATAATACATCAAAACCAGATAACCAGGTATCTGTCCAATTTTAATTTAAAGTGCTGACATGTAAGACTGCGGAGTAGGGGTTTAACCTTCTCAGGCAAAAATACAACGAAGGAGTTTACTGTGCATAAGGATTTCAACTTATTTCTCCAAAAAGGTACTCTTGCGTGTCCTCCATGATGGAAAGATGCCAGGCCTTAGGGCATGCCACAAATAAAGAACAACAGGCGCTAACTGATCTAATTGAACTATTGGATGAGGACACTCCTGAGGAAGAGATAATGGATGGAAAGGACACCCTGGTCATTAGGAGGGAGGATTTGCTAACAAGATCACCAAAAATGCCTGGCATGGTGAAAGTCACTTTTTGTAGATAAAAATGCTGAACAAGAGTTATGATCAATGGTGCTGAACCAGTGAGGTTTATAATCCAATTTGGTGCCCAATGGCCACCGGTACGTCCAGAATTGAACAAACATTGGCATGTCCTGAGACAATGTCCAGTGTTGTCTGAGATAGGAGAATACCCAAAAACAGGTAGCCAGAAGGGCACAAAATCTGGGTGACCTACTAAAGCATTCCCTCGCTAGAGGGGCGTGTTACAGTGTGGGAGGTGTCAGATCTGCCTATTTGTAGAACAAATGGAGGTGTTCACAGATGCTAATGTGAACGTTTCCCCCGAGCTTGATTAACTGTAGAACTACAAAAGGTGATTTATCCTATAGCAAAACATAGGTTGAAAAGAACAAACACCAGTTAAGAGAGCACATTGGTGAACACCTTTGTGAAATTATAAAGAAAGAACGAACCTGACAGTCTCCTTGCACAACACTTCAGAACCTTCCATAATGAAAAACTGGATGGTTTAAAGGTAAAGAGGATTTATACGCTGAAGTACAAGGAGAGAGGAGTTTAACACTGTGTCGTTACACAACGAAACATTTTGGATACATAAATGAAAGCAGAACTACACTGCATCTAAGCAGCACAAATCAAAAACACTATTTAATTCATGTTTTATGTGCAAAGCAAACTCCCCCATCCATTCACATCTCTATGCTTTATTTTGCTGAGAAAAAAAAATAATTTGAAAAATACCCCTCTAGCATTTTTGACTGCAGCCATCTTAAGGGCAGATAAATTTACTTCCTGGAATTTAGAAGCCATCAGCCCTTAGCTCAGATAGGAGAGAGTGCTTAGCAGAGAAAGCCCCTCCTTCCCTCCTAAAAGACTCCTGGGATATCTGACAATTTGCCTAAGCATAGAAACCAGGAAGTAACTGATGAAATGTAAAAAAAAAAAAAAAAAGTTTATACAAGTAAATGTAATACTTTTCTGTTTACTAATATTAGCAGCAGCAGGATTAAAAATAGTCCATGTTGATTGAGAGAGTGAAGGTCCGCTTTAAAGACTTTAGCTCCAAAAGGGCTGTACACAGAGTTAAATCTCCAAGTTTTTCTGGGATAATGATATTAAGGGTTCCTCCTTTTCTTCCCTTCTCCCCTACTCCTCTCTCCTTCCCTATTCATCCTTTCTGAAGAAGCCATTAGTACGTTCGTTTGATGAAGCGCATTGATGTCACCTGACCTATGTCACTTAGTCCCGGAACATAGCAATGTAGTTCAGGGCGGACTGTAGCAGCCTAACGGATAGTCGGCCTAGGCAATGGATGGTGTGGCATATGCATGAGCTTGTGGTAAACAGAGGCGAACACTCACATGGTCTGGAGTAAGAATGTGACGGCAGCAGTTGGAACCAGCCTGGATTGGGTGAGAGTAACATTGAGAGTAGATTTCAACTGCTGGACTTTTTATTACTAGCTGCCTGGCACTGTGTTACTGTGCTTTGTTCACGTAGGACACATACTCTGTCCTGGACGGACATGACATCCAATCACCTATTGAGGTGAGATACTTGCCTCTGTCGGCCTGTCCATGTGTTGTCATATCTCTGAATCTACCTAGTACTCTTTTGCCACTAACGCTGTGTACCTTCTAACCTTAGCAATATGCCTATTAGCTTTATCATTCCTTCAAGCCCATCATGGACTATTACATTCACATATTGATTCAGTTATGACTGGAGTATTCTCAGGGGCGCCATTCAAGCTACTTACCTTCATTTTTGATTTATTGGTTGTATCTTCATGTTAGCGCAATTCCTTTTGGGTGGACATAGTGGGTAGTCTAAACAGTTACCCTTTGTTTTGTTTGTTAACGGATTACTGTACTAGCCATTTGCCTTAGGAGACTGTTTGACATACCGATTGTAGCCCAAGTGTATGTCCGAATGTAAATATGTTATGAGACAACGCTGTCTTAGTTTTTTAAATTATGGTGAAGAGTTTGGGTATTTTAAAAATTAAGGGTTGAATATAATAATTATAATTTAAGGGAAAACAATTATTTGATCCCCTGCAGATTTTGTAAGTTTGCCCACTTGCAAAGAATTGAAGTGTCTATAATTTTTATCATAGGTGTATTTTAAATGATAGAGAAAGAATATTAACCATAAATCGAGAAAAAAAAAACATGATACAAATGTTATAAATTGAGTTGCAGTTCAGTGAGTAACTAAATTATTTGATCATCTACCAACGAAAAATAATTCTGGCTCCCACAGACTGGCTATTTGCTCATGTGGTACACAGATTAGTCCCGTCAATTTAGAAAGCTGCTCCTAAGGACAACTCATTATGTGTATAAAAGACACCTGTCCACAGAATCTTTCTTCCATTCAAACATCAACGTCATGGGGAAAGAGCTGTCAAAGGAAGTCAGGGACGAGATTGTAAACCTATACAAGGCTGAAATTGGCTAAAAGATCACCCTAGGTCTGGAGTTCAATGCAAAATTTCGCCTCATGGGGTAAGGATAATGAGAAAAGTGAGGGATCAGCCCAGAACTATACGGGAGGAACTTGTGAATGATCTCAAGTCAGTTGGGACCACAATGCACCACCATGGATTGAAATCCTGCAGAGTCCGCAAGGTCCCCCCCTCTTCAAGGAGGCACATGTAAAGACCAGTCTGAAGTTTGCCAATGAACATCTAAATGATTCAGAGGACTGGACGAAAGTGTTGTGGTCAGATGAGACCAAAATTGAGCTCTTTGGCATTAACTCGACTTGCCATGTTTGGAAGAAGAATAAAAATGCTGACTATGACCCTAAGAACACCATCCCTACAGTTCAGCATGAAGGTGGAAACATCATTCTATGGGGCCGTTTCTCTGCTAAAAAGGTACAGGCTGACTTTGTCGCATTGACGGGCCAATGGATGGGGCCGTGTCTCTTGTAAAATCTTGGAGAACCTTCTTCCCTCAGCCAGAACACTGAAGATGGGTTGTGGACGGGTCTTCCAGCATAAGAATGACCCAAAACATACCACTAAGGCAACAAAGGAGTGGCTCAAGAAGCAGCACATTAAAAAGGGAATGGAATGGCCTAGCCAGTTTCCAGCCTTCAAAATTGAGCTCTACCAAAAAGGGAAAGTTACGCTTTAATGCTTTGTCCCCCACTTCCCATTAAGGATTGGCACCTTTGGAAAGCAGGTACCCAAATTTGACAGGTACCCGGTCCCACTTCTCCTGCGATCACCTAGGCACCTAGGCGGAAGTTGTCCTCCCTCCCTCTCCATAGTCTTCTGGGACACGTGACAGGTCCCAGAAGACTACGGGGCTATTTTACAAAGTGCAGTGCTTCTCGTGCATGCGCAGTGGACACCCGGCTGTGAAGCTGCAAGCTGTCACAGCCAGGTGCCCACACTAAAGATGCCGGCGCCAGTACTCAAAC